ATTTCGCTTTGATTTGGAGAGGCCGCAGGGCTCGCAGTTGGTGACGGTAGAAGTAGTGAGCTTCATCCCATGTACAACTTTTGCAGTGTCCTTAATAGCGTCTATTCCAGCGTGTCCCATGATATGATGCCAGTCGGTGGCTGGCCGTGAGGATGAGGGCTCATCGGCAGAGCTTCGATAGCAAACAAGAGAGGCGTATGAGAGAGCGGCCGGCGCCTTGGAGGATTCTGTAACTACGAGAAAGTTGGGTATACCGTCGATCTCTGGTAAGTAAGCTAGCTCCTCATCTGAGGCAGTGTACAATTTGTCCTTGCCCGAGTGATACCACACTCCCGCGCGCTTGAATGGAGCTTGGGAGATGACGTTGGTGGCGAAATCGGGGCAGTAGAGGACGTTTTGGAGTGAGATCTTCTCTGTTGTTCCGTCGGCTTTGACGACTTCAAGGCGTACAGTGCCAACGCCGGCGGCGGTGGTTGATCCGGTAGAGCCGTGTACGTCATTGTCGATTGGAGCGTATTCGTAAAATTTCGAGCGGTTATTGAAGACGTGCCGGTTAGCGGCAGTGTCGTAGCAGTACCGCTGTTGATAGTCGTGATTGGAGACTGCCTTCTTGAGGAGAGTCGGAGAGACGAAGGTGGCGACTGTCACGTATGAGTGAGCATCGTACTGATCAGCATCGTCGTCGTTGCTGTTCTTGGCCACTGTAACGTTTGTACGAGCTGCTGCAGCTGCGGCCTTCTTAGCGGCATTGTCTGCGGTGCGCTTCTTAACATTATCTGGGGTGAGAGAAGGGTGAAGTTTCCAGCAAAGCTCATTAGGTCCTGGGTGCTCTCGCTTGCAGTGATCGCACATTCCAACAGGCTGAGGAGTACGCTTCTGTTGGTTGTTATTGCGCGTCGGCAGAGACGAAGGAGTAGGAGTAGAGTTCTGGTTGCTGTTGTTGCCATTGCCGCGGCCATTTAGGCGTGTGAGAACGCGCTTCTCCTCCGCTTGTTTAGAGACGGAGAGGAAAGTCTTCACGGGCTCATCTGGGGCATGGCGTAGGTGATCCTCGAGTGACGCGACGAGCGTGTCGATAGACCATGTATGGCCTTGGCGGAGGTCGTTATTGCGAGCTTCTACCCACTGTGGGAGTACACGAGCTAAGCCGTGAAGGAAGTGGATGATGAGCAGGTCTTCGATGTCGCGGTCGGCGGATGTACCAGGTACTGCTGAAGGCTTCTTCCATCCAAGTGTGATGCCTTGTACCGTGATGTCATTAATTGTCTCGCGAAACTTTCCAATATAGCTGCGGACTGTGGGTTGGGTCTCAGCGCGGAGGTCGATGAAGGCAGTCCACGCGAGAGCAGCATTGGCGTAGTCACCGTTGCTGTTTAGGTCCTTGAGAGCCTTGTACATATCGTGGGCGGTGGGGCAAGTGCGCACCTGAGCTACGAGAGGCTTGTCAATGGATGAGAGTATGGTGTTTTGGAGTCGGGCATCTCGGGCGACCCATGAGTCAAGCGCAAGCTTGTCCTCTTTAAGTAGCTGTCGAGCCTCATTGTTGAACGGTCCTATAGTCTTGTTGAGTTTGCCGACACGGTCAAGCTCGGCTTGGATAACGTCTGTTGAGGTGCCTAATGGATGAGTGATCGGGCGCTGCATGGCGGTAATGCGATATTTGTCGTCTGTAGCGTCAAATTCTGGGCGCGGAGCGCCATCTAGGACGGCTACAGCGCCATCGGCGGCTGCGTAATTGATGAGTTGTTTAATCCAGTCCTTCCAGTTTTTGCCGTCGGCTGCAAGGCGCGCTGTGACAGCTGTGGAGGAGGTGTAAGTTGCCATCGCGGCGGACGTCGAAGACCGTTCGGCTAGCGATTTTTGGCGGTGAGCAGCGAGGAGCTCGTCGTCGTCCAAGCGATCGATGAGCTGCAAGTTGCGGGGTCACGATTGCTAAAGTGGCGCGCGATTGCGACGTCACCGAGCTGTTTTGCGGGGAGGGTGATGATCGTGATGAGGCGCGCGGGTCGTCAAAATATCTAATAGAATTATCGTGAGCGACTACGGGAGCGGGTGAGGGCTCATAACCTGTCAAGCGTCAAGGTTGGGGAGAATCATCATCTCGTATTAGAGCTATCGGGAAGAGGTCTATATACGCAGTGGGAGGAGAGAAGGAGCTAGGCCGTAAAGGTACTAGCGGGTAAATAGGTGGCTGCCTGGTTGCCCAAAGAGGAGCCAAGGGATAAGCCCTATGGCCGACAAACTTAGAACAAACAAAACCCAAAAAATGCCTTGAACATATAGAGGATTTAAGCAAGACGATGGTCGCCGCATCATTATCCCTGGTATCACGGGTCGGAATAGCAGGGTGCAGGTAAGAACATAGTTGTAGTGTGAAGGTCTATGTACGAGAGCGCGGAGGAGGTATCTACAGCGGGGGAGCAGGCGCTAGGCCGAGATAAGGATAGGGGCACGTGATCTACAGAACGCCGAGTTGGTGCTGTGACATCTGGCTGGGGTGGTCAGGGTAGGGGTAGCGGGAGGAAAGTAGACAGGGCTAGTGGCTCTTTGGTTCCAGAACCTGCGGCTTCGTACCTGCAGATGCGATGTAATTCTTGCGAACAGGTGTTAGTGTTAGGGGAACTGAACGCCTTAAGAGGCGCAGTAAGGTAGAATATAGTAAGTGCACGTGGAAGAATTTTGCTCGGGAAAAATGAATTAATCTAAGCGATTCTATCTACTACAACTAGTTATAGTATCGATTTGCGTTCGGTAAAGATAGACTGCTCTAGGAGGTGTGCGGTAGGGTAGCTAGTAACCTTTCTATTAAAAGTTTAGCAAAAGTCTTTAGGACCTAGGTAATATCCAAATAGTGGCTGGAAATCTTTAAAGAAGTACTTACAATCCTGGTAGGATCATTTATTAGTGTTGTTTGCCATTCAACCCCTGCATTTGTTGACAGCTAGGCAGCCCCTGGAAGGGGGGTTGGAAGAGGCAGGGACACATGTACCAACGCAAACTTGAGGAGCTGCAGCTCGTGCATCGATATCCTTAGTAAGGAGAGGCGCGGCAACCGCTGAAGAGGTGAAAAGCGCACAAGCGAGGGTAATAAAGAACTTCATGATTGTTGGACTGAAGAAGAAGTGGTGAGTTTGTGTTGATGCTATAAGATGTTGTTGTGATGAAGAAGCTGTTTGGAATGATGGAAAGAAGGCGATGAGAAGGGCTACCTTTATACATATGGAAACCGCCTTATATAGTCCAAGCAGCTTAGGAGCTCTTATTTACCTTGATAAGGGTAGTGTGTCACGAAGGAGCCGCGCAAACGTTAGTCTTGCAAACAAGTCACTCTAAAGCCCTATAATTTCTTGATACAATCTCTGTTACGAGTTTGGCTTCATGAGCTACTGTATCTGTGCGTGCAATGTGCCCTCGGATACCGTAGCGCTGTTGTTCATCGGATAGTGCACCATCACTAAGCACGGCAACCCACCGGCATCATGACTATTACATGATAATTAACTAACACTAACGTTATGGGTGTTTCTCGAAATACCTTGAGCCACCTGGATCTGGTTGGCTTGGTGGCCAAGAACATCAACTCCTATAGTAATTTGTTAGTAAATCGATGCAGCCACGCTTTCTAACACCCACAACGTATTTGAAGTTCATTGTTTGCTGCGATCGCCTCTACTGACTCGCGTTTTTGGTGTTGCAATTTTCTCGAGCCCATCTCATCGCGATGCCAGGCACCGGCCACCGCTTGCAGCCCGCTGTTCTCCAGGCTATCCTCGACCGAATTGCTGCCTGCGAAAGTGATCGAGCCATCTCTAGAGCTACAGGTGCGAGCCGTAACACAGTAGCAAAGCTGAGGTTGAGCTTAGAGTTTTGGGGCGTGCCTTATCCGCCGCGCTGCGTTCGACTTGGGCGGCCATCTATACTCCGGCAAGCTCAGCGCGAAGGCCTTCAGGCATACCTCAATGGCTCACCGGGCGCATACATGGATGAGATGAGGGACTTCTTGTACGACGAGTACGACGTTAGGATAAGCCTTGCGAGCGTTTACCGAGAGCTAGAGAAGATGAGATGGTCTCGCAAGCTTGCAACAAAGCGGGCAAAGGAGCAGAGTGAGCCACTCCGCCGCCTCTATCTTGCCAGGATGGCGCAACACTATAAGGCGGAGCAGATCGTTGCGTTGGACGAGAGCGCCTGCAATGAGCGTACGGGCGACCGCAAGTATGGCTGGTCTCCAATCGGGGAGCCGGTGGAGCTATCACACAGCTTCAGGCGATCAGAACGGTGGTCGCTGCTGCCAGCCATGACGATAGATGGCTACATAAGCTATAAGATCTTTCAAGGCGCGATTACATCTGAGATCCTAGAAGACTTCTTAGAGTTTCAAGTGCTGCCGTTCTGCAATCCTCACCCAGGGCCAGCCTCAGTAATCGTGCTTGATAACGCCTCCATCCATCGATCAGAGCGTGTACGGGTGCTTTGCCAAAGTGCTGGAGTACTCCTTGAGTATCTGCCGCCATACTCACCAGATTTCAACCCCATCGAGAAGAGCTTTAAGCAGCTCAAGGGGTGGATGAAAAGGAATTCAGCGCAAGCGGAGAACTTCATTGACTTTGGGGTCTTTCTTGAGTATGCAGCGCAGCTGGTGTGCTGTAATATTAACTGCAGAAGCTGGTTCCATAGGTGTGGCTATCCCTATTAATTGTGCTTTTAAATGGATGCCACAGTACGTTTCTATAGGTAGATGATACCATACAAATGCGAACGATTACACCTTAATGCGCAACCCACAAAAGCGATTTAATAATTCTAAAAAAATAAGAGCTATTTCTATACATATAGAACTATCTTAGGAAGTTAACCTGTTATAATCGCATAACGTTGTAGTGTTGTACATAGGGCTATCCAAATAGACTATTGTTGCAGCGCATTTGAAACGCCTGAAAAACCTCAACACTATAGCGGGCACGGGCCGCTGTCACCAAAAACGCTCAGGCCACTAAGCTTCAAGCATTCTCGCCATCATCCTCCACAACACTGCTAGACGGTTCAACCACCAATTTCTTGCGCGCAATCTCTTCTCTTTTCTTACAACGTTCGACTCGTCTCCAGTTACGATCTGTGAGACCCTGGTACCCAGCTTGCCATTCTTTTGCAGTGTTTTGTAGCGTGAAAAACCAGCCAGGAGGCTGCTTGAAATGCTGCGTCCACAACTTCAAGATATCACCAGATGGCTGCATCAAGAGGTTGATATCCATAGCTCCGTCAATAACAAGAGTCTTATAAAGCTCGTTAATGTCCTCTCCAACTGTAGGAAATTTTAACTTAAGGTAGTTAAAGAAATTACTAGTATGCTCGTTAATCTCCTGCTCATGATCATATCGGATAGGCGCCCACTGAGATGCACTAGATACCTCAGCTCTTGTTATCGTTGGTGCAGCTGCCTGCAAGTTAGACTCCTGTTGAGGTTGCCTGTTCATCCGCTCAAGCTGTCCAACGATGAGCAGTTTTGTTAAGCTTTTGATATCATCGTCGCCATCTCCAGCCGCCCGCAACTTGCGCGTTTTCTCATGCACCCGCAGGTCCTTTGCTCTCAAAATTGCAAGCCGTACATCATCAGATGGCTCATCGTACGTTGCCCTTCTCGCTGTAATTGCTCTTGCCCACATGGAGATAATGTTGCCGTTGACAAAGAGGTGATCTTCGAAGCGCGCTGGCTGCCTCGCTGTTGGCGCCATCCAGCAGCAATAAGGATAGTTCTCGCAATGGGTATCTGTACAGCGCCATCTATCCCGGATAGCAATAGCATGCCCGCTACCTGCTTGTTCAGCTGCTATTACACCAGCAAGCCCCTCCTCTTGAATCACCGTTGCGGTGCGTCGACGAGGACCGTCGACAACCGTTGGCAACGGCTGCTGCTCCCCTGGAATTTCAGCCAAGATGAGCTCGAAATCGACGTTTACTGGCTCGCTGACATAGTTATCAACCTCTACAACAAGGCGCTGAAAGCTATTCCACGTTGCATCAACACCTCGCCGCAATCGCTTTATCGCGCGCTCGCGTTTGGCCTGCTTAGCTGGGTAAACAACAGTGCAAACAGATGAGATCTTCGCTCTTTTGGCCGTAATTCTGCAACAACGTCATCTACCCACTGCCATAGGTCGTCGAAATGCAGCGAGTACAGCCGTACGCCGTGCTCGCTATCGGCAGCTTCAGGAATAAAGTGTTTCTCCATATCACCACCAAGGCAAGCCCTCCACCTAACGCGCAGTACAGGATTAACCTCATCCTCTAGCGCTTGCGATGAGCGAGGCAGCCATGGAGTGCCTTCTTGACGTCGGTACGCTGGCTCTCCCTCATCCTCAACACTACCGGCAGCGCCCTTAGCAGCGATCTCATCCTCATCCTCAGGCAGCGGATCGCCATCTCCATCCTCGAAAGTATCCTCATCCTCGCCAACGATATCTTCAGCTTGCGCGGAGGCAGCTGTTTGGGTGGCTTGCAGCTCAGGCTCGGACAACGGGCTTTGACGGCGCGGCGGGGCAGTCGCTGGAGGCGACGGCAGCGCCTCACGGCGGACACGTTTAGGCGTTAAATGGGTAGGATTTTGTCTAGTTGCTGGCGCTCTACGCTTCTGGGAGGACGGGTTAACGCCTTGATCGAATGGCTGCTTCGGCTTACGCTGGCGCTTGGGCGGCATCCCAACAGCAGCTAGATTGAGCTCGCAACAAGCTCCACACAAACAAAACGCTATACACGAACGATTTAGAGTACAGGACTAGCTTCATGGGCTTCTGGAGGTGGGAAACGGCTGCTGCATTAATTTACTAACAAATTACTATGGGAGTTGATGTTCTTGGGCACCAAGCTAACCAGATCCAGGCGGCTCAAGGTATTTCGAAAACCACAATACAACAGTATGCAAGAGTTTACTATAGCCTACGGTACTATTAAGAAGTATTGCTATGCTCTAGATCCACGATTTCTACAGTGATAGCTTGGCACAGTGTTAAAAAGGGGAATAGAAGGAACGATAGAGACGTCTCAATAATTACCTTAAACCGGTGATTCCTTATCTTAGTACGCCAAGATGGCAACTAGTTTTGGTGCGGCGTGGGCTGAGAGACTTCCGGCCGGAGACTTCTCCATGGACCTGTCACGGTAACCACCGTGGTCCCCTTGACACTCCTGCCTCTGACCTATGCGCTCCTGCTCTTAACCCGTACGCTCCTATCGCAACAGCGCAATGTACTATCCTCGACAGTATGCTACTGCCCCGACATCTGTATGACGTCACACAAGCTTCCTTCCGCTTTATATCTTTCTCTGGTGGAACTCTCCACTTCTTTTCTTCACGCAACGTCTTGTATTTACACTTGAGTACTGTACGTAGCACACAAATCAAACTTCTTCATAAGTTCTGAGATTACTGCTCGTTGCCTCTCGTGACAGGAACACCCTACTAGCCCACCTCATTTACGCCCACGTTATCGGCGGTGTTCTAGCCCGAACCTTTAGTGTTCCAAGATAGCAACTACTTCTAGCACGGCGTTGTTTAATCGACTAGAATAGGACCGATAAGATGGGCGTAAATGAAACGGGCTAGCTTAGGGTGGTTCAGGTGCAGTCCTAATTACGGCCAAAAGTCTCGTCCTTTAGTAGCGCACATCATGTTGATTTCCCTGATAAAAACTTGTAGGGCATATTTTCACGGAATTTAGTGAGATTTAAGAAACAGTTATAACCTCTATCTGTTCTGCAATGCAGAAAAGCTCGTGAAGTAACGCGAAGAGCGCTCCTCTATTCTAAGCGCACACTTCGCTCAGAAACGCTTTCGTCACAAATAAATAACTAGGCCACGAATGCACTACCTGTGTGTCTGCGTGGAACACTTAGCTTGCTTCACCTCAAACTTTGGTACCGTCCGTCCAGAGTTGCTAACAATAAATCCGATCTGGCCCGATTGATTGAATGATTGACTGACTGCTTGGCAGTCAAATCAGATCAGATTGAAGCTCTCTATTTTATCATATCAATCAGATTGATCTGATAGAGGTTAATCTGATAACAAGTGTTGCAGAGGTAGGCTTTGTGTTGTTTTTAGAGTTGCTTTTTAATGTTGTTGATACGTCTTCAATAAGCGGTTAGTGCGAAATACTTACCTAGGTACCGTATCCGTGCGCGCAATGTGCCGCAACGCGTACAGTGCTTAGCGAATGCGGCTTCCCCTCGAACGCAGTTGCAACAAAGTTTGCGCCACACCGCAGACAGGGATTATGTTGCCCTATCTAACGGATCGAGCCTAGTGCTAGCCCGTCAGCACACGTGTAGTTTACCGCAAATACAGCGCTTTAGCACCTTACACAGCAGAGCGTAGAGCTTACCCACGAGGTAGCACAACCCTTGTACACGAGGACTAATTATCAAACATCAAGGGTTAAACGCTTCTCACAATGCATCTAATATTGCTGTTTGGTGTAGAGTACAACTGCTTGCATACGTTTAGTACTACATTACAGAAGAGAAAGTTAAGTTCTAGTGCTTAGTGATTGAGTCACTACACGATCTTGAAGCGTAGCAAGAGCGCGACGAAGACTGCGACAACGCGGATGGTTAGACCCAAAGCTGGTCTCATATCCTTGCAGCGCCCGTTGGTACATCTCTTCCGTCTCATCTAGCTTGCCCTGATCAGCGTAGAGGATGCCCAGGTTGTTGACCGTGTCAAGCGTTGACGTGTGATCGGGCCCAAGTACCTTCTCGGATCCCTCCAGCGCCCACTTGAATATTTGCTCGGCCTCATCTAACCTGCCCTGATCTGCGCGGAGGCTATCTCGGTTGTTTATCATCTCAAATGTCCACGTACGACGAGGCCCTGAGGCCTGCTCATACTCTTCTCGCATTCGAAAGAACATGTTCTTTACCTGGTGACACTTATATCGTCTCAAGAGGAGACAACCCAGTTTATTGGCAGCATAAAGTGTCGATGGGTAATCATGTCCAAACGCCTGCTCAAACCCTTTCAATGCTCGACGGAACATATTTTCGGACTCTGGCAGCTTTCCTCGACGACCGAAGAAAGTGCCAAAGTCGCTAACGGTTTCAAGTGTCAGTATGTGGTTGACTGGAAGTTTTGCCTCTCTTCCATTCAACGCCCATTGAAACATGCTCTCTGCTTTAAAGATATTACCTTGCCTCATGTGCAGCTGGGCTAAGTTGTGTACGGTCTCAAGCGTTGACAGGCTATCGGGCCTTCGTGTCCTCTCTCGTCCTTCTAAGGCTTGCTCGAGCATGCTTTTCGCTTCGTCTAGTCTGCCCTGATCGAGGAAGCAGACGCCTATATGGTTGATTGTGCGGAATGCTAATGGATGATTGTGGGGAAATGTTTCCTTAGATTTCTCTAGTGCCTGTTGACAACTCACCATTGCTTCCTCAAGTCTGCCTGATGACAGAAAAAGGTTGCCTAGGTTGTTGAATATATCGATAGTGAGCGTGTCTCGGCCATTTGCCTTCTCGCATCTTTCCAGTCCTAGTTTGTACATCTATTCTGCCTCTTTCAATCTCCCTTGTCTTTTGTAATGAACACCTAGACTCATGATGGCCTCAGGCACTAACACGTTGTCATGCTCTCCAATCCGCCTGCATCTGATAAAATCCAGACATCGGGCAGCGTGCGCAACGAGTCGCCGATTTGTCACCCAGTACTGAGGCCGGCTTTGATCAGGCACGTGCAATCCCGTACAATTCATGGCAAGGCTAGCTAATCCATCGTCCCATTCCTCGTTTACCACATGCTTTGTCCATAAGTGCACGCAGCTGTGCATACTATATCCTTGTGACTCTATGCTGCTGTCTCGGGCCGTGACATCCCTTTCGACCAGCGCATGGTCACAGAGTACTCTTACAGCTTTGTTGAACACAAGTCCATCTTGCGTTAATTCGCAGAACCACTCTGGGGCGTTATCTCGACCTTTTTGCAGAAGCCGCCCAGGCTGTGCGCTAAGAAGATGATTGGCCGCTTGCTTGTCTGCCATGACTTAGCTTTTGTCTTGTGTCTGGTCTATCCACTACACGCCTCCGTAATCTGCCTTTCTAAGCACAGGTCTGACACCAGCGTTCGTGCATGGTCAAACAGGTACTGGCAGCTCACTCGCGACCCACTGTGTGTGTTCGCATCATAGCCTCAGCAGAGTATGCGCGCGTTGGGAAGATCTTGTAGAAGGAGGTCGCGCAGCCAGTTGACGCTGTCGACGCTGTCGACGCCGCTGCCCGCCGTCCACGTCTTCTCGCAGTGCCCGTTCAGGCTGTGGACCGCGACGATGCTAGACTCGTGTCAGCTGTCGAGTCAGGAACGTCATGGCGGGACAGCGCACTCAATGACTGGGTCGGTGCCTTCACACACTACTTGTAAGCCCTGCAGAACTGCACCGGTTGCTTGTGCTGGCAGCGAGACCGCAGGCGCTGCTACTGTCGAGGATGTGGACTGTTTCACAGGAGCCTGCCTGTGCGTTAGAGCGCGCAGAGGCGGGATCGGTCTTGTTTGAGGTACCCTTGCGCCGTGTTTCTTCGACCCGAACTGGAAGAGTCGTCGCATGGTGTCAACCTTGGTGAGACACCAGGTGGTGCGAGGGGATGTAGGCTATGTCAAACACCATCGTGGGCGAGGTGCATCGTGGGGTACGTCGCAAGGCAGAGGAAGCAGGCGGTGGCATGCTGGCGATAGGGGCTGGCTGTATGCAGCGTTGGGGGCGGCCTGTTGATGGCTGTCGTTGGCTGTTGCTGTCGGCTGTCGTTGCTTGCTGTCCTTCGTTCAGCCCGCACGCTCCGCCTGCACCGCGCTTAGCTGTCAAGGGCCAACTGCCTTCCTGTTGGAGCACTCCTGCCACGTCACGACAGTGCATGCCAGCCGTCGGCCTTGTGCAGCGCGACAGCCCTCCGACGATGCCTGTTCGACGCACAGCCAGATCCAGGCGTGGGTCTCATGTAGCCCCCCCCTCAGGGTCGCAGCAGCCCTACGGCCGATCGCCGGACCCGCCTACACAAGCCGCCACCGCAAGCCCGTGTCCGTCGATGGACCCAGTTTCGTTCCCGCTCGGCCGATCCCAGTTTTCAGGCGCGTCTACGGCGTCCCAGATGCCTGATACCCAGGTAGCGGGACACCCGTCGTCCTCTCGGAGCGAGCCGTTTGTGCTCCACTCACCGTTCCCGGCTGCAGTGTACCAAGAAGCGATCGCCGGCGATCTAGGCAGGGGCACTTGTACCGTGGGACATGTAAGGCCGCTTTCAGGCAAGCTCGAGCTGCTAAATCTGGATGAGTGGAACGAAAACGAGGCGTACAATGAGGAGCCGTCGACATGCCTCCACTACTCGATCGAGTGGAAGGTCACGCTGAACAACAAGTTCCTCTCCAAAGATACGGAGCCAGATCTCGTGCTAGCACCCAGGTTCTACTGGTCGCTGTTTCTGCGTGAGAAGCTAGAGAAGCTGCTGCAGAAGAAACTGCCGCCGAGTAAGCGTGTTGCCTGTGAAGACACTAACGTTGTCGTGTCAGTGACTGAGCGCTCAAAACGTGACTTGACAAAGCGCTTTGATGAAGTGGATGTCGACTGGTTCTTGGTGGAGAAACAGCTCTCTCAGTGGAGCGAGTTGTTTCGTGCAGGTAAGAAGCTGAGGGTGGATGTGTCGTTCAACTATGTAGACATAGGACAGCCAATGCCGGTAGCATCAAAGCGAGGTGGAAAGCGAGGATATCCCTCCGCCACGCAGCAGATGCTTGCTGAAAGAGACTCGCAGGTCGATGCTGAGGAAGGAACGTCCAGCCTGCCGTCTGTTTGACAGGATGTATACAACCTGATGCGATGTCCGGGCTCGCCATGCAGTCTTGGGCCTCACTGCTAGCGGGACCCGCACGGAAAGAAGCACTACAAGCTAAGGACGCATCAGCTGAAAGCCTTGATAAGGCATGTGGCGCAGGGGGGCCAGTTGCTATCACATGATGACGTGCCGGAAGACATTCGTCAGCAAATCTATGCAGAAGAGCAACAGCAGCTAGAAAGATATCAAAGAGCCAGTCACAGCGTCCCGGCGAATCATGCTCTAATCCATATAACGAACGTACTTCCTAGGCCGTCTCACCCAACATCAGGTTCAACAGAAGTGCAGGCCAAGCCTCGTCTTGATGTGTCCGGTTTTCTAGATGCTGCGGTAGAGGAATATAGTGATTGGCAGCAGTCGCGAGTCAGAAGAGAAGATCAGAAGAACGACATTCGGAACATGTGTGACATGGCTCTAGAGCACGGACTTGACCTGCAGCAACTTCACGACGGCCAGGACCCGGACTTCTTCATCTCGCGGGGCATAAAGATTGGTGTCGCTCGGCGTCTCATACGCGACATCGAGTATTGGGTCCAGCAGCAGGTAGCAGCTTTACGTGACTTTTACTCTACTTAGACTAAATACCTATACGTGCAAGCCTAGAACTCCTCGAATGTGATTCCAGCGTGTCTGAAGTAGCCTCTAGCGCTGTCCTGCTTCCCATCTACAACGTCGATGCACCATTCTAGAAAGGAATCAAAGCCTTGCTGCGGCGCGTCTTCGAAAGCACGCCAGTTCCTCTTAATAAATGCCTTCAGCTCAGCAAAGAACTCTTCGATCGGATTCAGATCAGGCGAGTAGGGTGGCAGGTACATCAGTTTGACGCCAGCGTCGCAGCACATCTGCTCGAGTCGCTCTGTGCGGTGGAACGATGCATTGTCCATCACGAGCACAGACTTTGGTTCTGGCCATCTACCACAATGGGGGAGCAGTTGCTCTATGTAGTCCTCAAACACGGCGCTATCTGTCGAGCCTTGATACACACGTGAGAGCAAGATCCCGTCCTGAGTGTACGCCGGCAGGATCTGATATCGCCGGTCGCGGTATAACTTGGCAACCTGGACGGGTGCTACGCCGTGGGGCGACCAGCCTGTCCGCCTGAAGCCGATACTGTTGCGGTTTGTGAGGCAAGGGTATTGCGCATGTCACGTGCGTTGTCCTGGCGCTCCTCCCTCCCCTCCATGAGCACCTTCTCCCCTCACCAGCATCAGAGATACGTCATGTAAATAGACCCTGATTATGGCTACATATAAGGTGGCCATGACAGCACAACAACAACAGAACAGAATATACTCTGATGACTGCCTCGCGCGGTTGCACTTTGATTGACTGCATTGTACTGCAACAGATACACTTGTCGCATCCAGACTCGTCGATAAAGACAAGGTGGTAGGACTGGAACTGTGTCAGATTGTAGAGGTAAAAGTCTCGCAGGTCTGCGTTCTGTTCCTTCGCGATTTGCCGAGCAGCCTTTTTCGACCAACCTATGTCCTTCAATGCTCTGCTGATGCTGTGTGTCGACACTTGGACCTCGAACTCGTCCCACAGGAAGACAGCCATCTCCTCCTGGTACAGCCCTGGCTTCTCGAGCAGATGGTCGCACAGAGCGCCTAACATAGGCGGTGTGATGGACTGACGCCTCCCACCTCCGTTCGCAGGAGCCCTGGTGGAATTGAAGTATCGGATATTGGACCTTATTGCCTTGATTGAGCGCTCGCTGCAGCCAGCCACGGCGGCCATCTGAGCAGTAGTAAGCGTCTGGGCAGAAATCATATCCCGGATCAGATCATGCTGCGAGGCAGCAAGGTTTCGGGGCCATCTCAGTAACGACAAAGCCTACGCAGGACTGGGGTAGGATTCGGGCTGAGCGACAGATGTGCACTGTGGGACCGTCTGAGGACCAGGGCGTCGATCGTGGTCGACACCAAAAGCGAGTTGTAGCCTGTGACAGCAGCCCACTACAGTAAGCGCCGTTCAGCGGGTTCGGCGGGCTGAGCGGGCTGAGCGACGGACAGCTAACGACAACAGCATTCAGGCGCCATTCATCGCCTGAACCGCCAGCATGCCGCAGACGCTGTGCAGCTCAGCCTCGCGACAGCTTTGCGACAGCTTTGCGACAGCCTTCGTGCGCGATACTTCTGGATGTTCTACGTCCTACACCACGCATCTGCTGGCCTAGCCTAAGATAACGCGATGCGACGGCTCGTTGACTTCCGCTCGAAGAAGAGCAAGGCGAAGGTATGTCTCCTATACCGCGTTTCATTCCACACGGTCTAACACCCCAGGCAGGTATCTGCAGAGCTGTCTTCAACATCCTCAGGGTCAACAGAGCCGGCTGCCACGGCTGCGCAGGGCTTACAAGTGGTGTGTGAAGGCATCAACCCAGTTATCGAGTATTCCTCTTCGCTGCTTAGTTGCCGCATTCAGCAGCTAACATGAGTCTAGCATCGTCGCGGTCCACGGGCACTGCGAGAAGACGTGGACGGCGGGCAGCGGCGTCGACAGCGTCGACAGCGTCAACTGGCTGCGCGACCTCCTTCCACAAGATCTTCCCAACGCGCGCATACTCTGCTGAGGCTATGATGCGAACACACACAGTGGGTCGCAAGTGAGCTGCCAGTACTTGTTCGACCATGCACGAACGCTGGTGTCGGACCTGTGCCTGGAGAGGCAGATTACGGAGGTGCGCGATGAGCGAGACACTATGTGCAATAGCAAGAACTAACGCCGGAGCAGACGAGCAAGCGGCCGATCATCTTCGTGGCGCATAGCTTGGGCGGCATTGTTGTCAAAAGCGTGAGTGCTCTTTCCACAGCTTCTGTAGCGCGTTTGATTGACAAAGGCACATTAACACTCGACTGACACGCACAGGTGCTCAACCACTCGGACGCGGCCCGCCGAGGCGCCCTCAAAGAGCACCGCGCCATCAAGCTGTTGACATACGGCATCCTGTTTATAGGAACACCCCACCAAGGCGGCAGCGGCGTCGCGCTAGGCAAGCTTATGGTCAACGTGGCGTCGGTGTTTATGGCGGCGGACGACCGGCTGCTGCAGCACCTAGAGCGGGACTCGGAGTGGCTGCAGCAGCAGCTGGGGACAGTACGAGCCGATTAGCGGGGACTTTGTAACGAAGTATGCGTACGAGACGTACGCGACGCCGACGGTGTTAGGCAAGTCGATTATCGTGAGTTACTTCAAGATGGACGAAGCGTAGTAGTTATTTGCTAACGCCTATCAGGTTGTCCCCCGAGCATCGGCTGTGGTGCCAGGCGCAGCAGACGGCGAGCCGATCGCGATACACGCGGACCACATCCACATGGTCAAGTTCGAGTCGAAGACGGACCCTGGGTACAGGACGGTGTCAGGCCACCTGCGGGTGATGGCAGCAAGAGCAGGTACTAGCATCGGTGGGCGGTGTGATACAGAGGCCAAAGTAAACGTGGGTACGTAGTCTTAGAGTAGCAAGTATATTAGCGAAGAAGTAGTAGTAGTAGTAATAAGTTGTTCTTAGTCCATTCCAATGAGCCTGTTGCGTCGTTCGCTGTCCAGTCTATCGTGCCCGAGGTGTCGCGCGTGGACCATTTCGTCGGTCGGAGCGAGGAGCTGGATGCCATCCACAGAGAGCTTGAGCATGACGGGTCTCGCAAGACGGCAGTCGTACACGGTCTAGGTGGGATGGTCAAGACACAGCTAGCATTAGCATACGCGCAACAACATAAAGACGACTACTCGGCCGTGTTCTGGGTCAACAGCAAGGACGTTGACACGCTGAAGCAGGGTTATGCGGCCGCAGCGAGACGCGTCTACCGCGAGCATCCGTCGCTGGTGCATCTCAAGGCTGTCGCTCAAGGCAGCGATCTTGACGAAGCGGCGGAGGCAGTGAGAAGATGACTGAGCAGCGCTGGGAACGACCGATGGCTGGTCATCTATAACAACTACGACACGCCGAAGCTGCCAGGTCATGACGGGCCGGGCACGTTCGATATCCGGCCGTTCCTTCCTAAAGCGGACCAGGGAGCAGTGTTGATCACGACGCGGTCGTCTCAGCTGCATCTGGGTCGTCCCGTCGCGGTGAAGAAGCTGCGGGGCATTGAGCACAGCCTGGAGATACTGTCGCAGACGTCCAGACGAGAAAGGCTAAGTCTTGGTAGGTGACACCTTCCTACCTCGCCGTGAGTGATGCTGACACAGTAGCAAGACGTCGACGCTCGGAGGCTAGCTGAAGAGCTGGACGGGTTGCCGCTGGCTTTTGCTACGGCCGGCGCCTACCTCCACCTAGTACCAGATAGCTTCGCGGAGTATCTCCAATCGTACAAAGAGTCGTGGGCTCAACTGAAGCAAGACACCCCGCAGCTGCTGTCATACGAAGACAGGACGCTGTACACAACGTGGGGAATCTCTTTCGACCATGTCAAGAAGCAGAGCTCGCTCGCGACAAAGCTTCTGCAGCTGTGGGCCTACTTTGACAATCAAGACGTGTGGCTGCAGCTTCTGCAAGAAGGCCGAGACAATGCGCCAAAGTGGTTCTGCGAACTGACGCGAGATCGACTTGTGTTTAACAAGGCTGTAAGAGTGCTCTGTGACCATGCGCTAGTCGAAGCAGATACGACGCTTGGAGAAGGTGGCAAGGAGTCACGAGGCTACGGCATGCACAGCTGTGGGCACGCGTGGACGAAGCATGTGGTAAACGGTGGATGGGATGATGGGATGGCCAGGCTTGCACTGAGGTGTGTGGGGCTACACGTACCTAGTACGGACGCACTGCAGTACTGGGTGACGCAGCAGCGGCTGCTTCGGCACGCAAACCAATGTCACAGCTCTGTGAATACCGTGCTCACGGGACGGGAGGATGACATAACTATAATGGATGCAGTTCATGGCCTAGGCGATCTCTATAGGAATCAGGGCAAGCTAGACAAGGCAGAAGAGATGTAAGAGCGGGCGCTGCAAGGAAAGGAGAAGGCACTTAGGCGCGATCACACGTCGACTCTTGACACGGTCAACAACCTAGGCGCCCTCTACGCTAATCAGGGCAAGCTAGACAAGGCGGAAGAGATGTACGAGCGGGCGCTGGAGGGCTACGAAGAGCGCTTTGGGTCTGATCATCCGCGTTGTTGTAGTCTCCGCCAAGATCTCGCGACACTTTAAGATCGTGCGGCAGATTAGTTAGTAGTTAGTAGATATTAACTTCCTCTTCTATAATGTATCACGTTAACTATGCCAACACTTGTATACTACATGATACAGCAATAGCATAACATGATCCATGGGCGAGCGGCGCACACGGGCGAGCGGCGCACCCCACTAACTTTACTCACCTTATTGATCTTAATCTACAATGGCTCAACGCAGCGCTACTCAATTACTATTAAATGAAGCAGATATTCAGCTTGCTATCTTATCTATTAATGCGCACTAGATCTAAGGTACCTGTACTGCTGCAGTAGTCTACAACGTAGCCGAAACAACGCTCCGCCGCCGACGCGCTGGTATACCTGCCTAACGCGATTGCCCGCCTAACTTAAGGAAGCTTACCTAGAGAGAAGAGGAGGTAATTATTAGCTATATACTTTAGCTAGACTTGCGTAGATTTGCGCCTACTTACACAGCTATACGTAATATAGCTGATAAGCTGCTAGCTGCGTATAGTAGAGAGTAGGTTAGAGTTAACTAGCTATCTACCTTTGTTAAGCGTATAGACAGTCTTTAGACGTGTTTTAACTAAGCGTACAATAAGCAAAGAGCTCTTTATAAGGATGCAACATTAATAAAGAGGTAGTTTAAGCTTATAGAAGAGACAAAGGCTAAGCTAGGTATCTGCGATAAGGACGTCTACAACTTTAATAAAGCTAGCTTTATAATAACGTATCTAACGGGTTGGCGGGCCACACGGGTTGGCGGGACACTTTTGCCAAGCCCCCACCAACTCTACCTATGTACACGATGCCTCAACAACAACACCAGATGGGACCTTCTAATGAACGTCAGATACAGACTGCCCTTCAAGCTCTTGAAGAAGATGCGACACTCTCCTTGCGACGCGCTGCAGCTATCTATAACGTCTCTCGAACAACACTAAGCTATCGACGCGCTGGACGACCTTCACAAGCAGATTGCTGGCCTAAATCGTTGAATCTGACAAAGACTGAGGAGAGCGTAGTTGTTGAGTATATACTTGAGCTTATTACGCGCGGATTTCCCCCTCGGCTCGCAGCTGTAGCTGATATGGCCAATTCCTTGCGCGCAGAGCGCAATCTAGGCTAGGTTGGCTTAAACTGGCCCAGTATGTGGGTTAAGCGCCGCCCTGAGTTCACAATAAAGTTTAATCGCAAGTACGATTATAAGAGAGCGCTCTGCGAGGATCCGAAGGTTATCCGGGGCTGGTTTAGCCTAGTAGCTAATATCAAAGCCAAGTACGGCATCCAGGATGAAGACACGTACAACTTTGATAAGGCAGGCTTCATGATGGGCCAGATATCAACTGGAGCGGTTGTTACAGCTTTAGAGAGACGAGGACGGCCAAAGTCAGTGCAGCAAGGCAACAGAGAGTGGACAACAGTCATCCAGGGCATCAACGCGACAGGGTGGCCTATTCCACCCTTCATCGTCTTCAAAGGCCACTACCACCTCTCTGCCTAGTACAAGGAGGATAGCCTACCCTATGATTGGGTTATTGCAGTCTCTGAGAACGGCTGGACTACAAATAAGCTTGGCCTGCAGTGGTTGAAGCACTTTAATAAGCATACAAAGAAGAGAGTAGTTGGCAGCCACCAACTGCTCGCAATTGACGGCCATAAGAGCCATAACTCACTCAAATTCCAGCAATACTGCAAAGAGAACAAGATTATTACTATCTGTATGCCTCCGCACTCATCGCACCTCCTACAGCCTCTTGATGTGGGTTGTTTTGCTCCTTTGAAGAAGGCGTATAGGCGCCAAGCCGAAGATCTCATGCGCAACCGGATCACTCACATCACGAAACTTGAGTTCCTACCATGCTTTATACGCGCCTATAATGCTGCAATTACTTCTAGTAATATCCAAGGAGGGTTTCGAGGCGCTGGATTAGTCCCTTTTAACCCAGAACGGGTTATAACAACCCTTGACGTCCGGCTGCGTACTCCATCACCACCACTGCCTATCAACAACGAGCCCTGGCAGTCGCAAACCCCAAGCAATACCCTTGAACTAGGGTCGCAATCGACGCTTGTGAAGGCAAGGATTCAGAGGCATGTAGATAGCTCACCAATGTCTATGGTGGAGGCCTTTGAGAAGGTCTCAAAGGGAGCAGCAATTATCGCGCATAAGCTAGTGTTGGCGCAAAAGGAGATCGCAGAGCTTCGAGCGGCAAATGAGGCTGCTACGCGGCGTAGATCGCATAAAAGGAAGCGGGTTCAGGCAGAGGGGACCTTGATGGTTGAGGATGGCGCTCGTCTAACTGCTCTACAGGAGTTTGGGGCGCGTAGTGATAGGAAGAAGCTAAAGACGCGAGTGCGCGCTGAAGCAGGTGAACCATCTCAAAGGCGGTGTGGACGGTGCAATCAGACTGGGCATAACGCGCGTACGTGTAAGCAAGCAGCAGAAGTAGACTCTAAATGATATCTTATATTGTATTATACTATATAGGGCTAAAGTGGGCTGTTTTGCGCCAGAATGAGGGTGGTTTTGGTGAGGGCTTGGCAAAAGTGTCCCGCCAACCCGTGTGGCCCGCCAACCCGTTAGATACGTTAGGTAAGATTATAACGCAGCTAGTTATAATAGGAGCAGAGAGGAGAGGCAGGCTAAAGAGTATTTAGCTAGGCAATCGCGAGTAGGTAACGCTAACTACTACTATTAGCGCTGCTAGCTAGTTAGTCCTACTATTTCTTATCTTCGCTGGCTAGTACTACCTATTAGCCTAGTATAAGGAAGCTAAGATCCTACGCAACTAGGCGATCGTAGTTAGCGATAATAGCTGGACGAATAATAAGCTTAGAGTTAAGTAGCTAAAGCACTTTAACGCTCATACGCAGGCTCGTAGTGTAGGCGCGCGTCGCCTGCTTATTATTAATAGCTATAAGAGCTACTAATCTGTAGCGTTCTAGGAGCTCTGCAAGGAGAACAATATCTATACGCTCTATATACCTCCTTACATATCTCACCTACTCTAGCTACTTAATATTAGCTGCTTCTCGCTATTAAAGCGCGCGTACAGCCGTAAGGTAGAGAGCCTTATACGCAACTACATTAACTATATTACTAAGCTAGAGTTTCTGCCAGCGTTTAAGGCAGCATTTAATTAAGCGTTCACGCTAGCTAATATTTACTTAGCCTTCTACGGCGTAGGCCTTGTTCCTCTACAACTAGAGGCTGTTCTATTAAAGGTAGATGTACAACTGCGTACACCTACTCCTCTAGCAGCTCTGCTAGAGGCTCCCTAGGTAGCTTAAACGCCAAGCAACGCGCGTGAGCTTAAGGCTTAGTTAAGCCTAATACGTGAGCGCGTGTGCCAGCATAAGAGCTTATCACCAGCTTTAATTATTATGGCGATTAACTAGCTAAAGAAGGGCGCCGAGGTAATAATGCTCTCTGCTAAGCTAATGCGCGATTAGATCTCTAGTCTTAAGAAGGCTAACAGCGCAGCCTTAGAGCGTAGGCGGCGCTCTAAAAGGCGTATACAGAAGCATAGAGTACTCACAAAGGGAGCTAGAGAGGATATACTAGCTTAAAATGAGGCTGACTAGCAGATTGCTTATAAAGAGCGTCAAGGAGGAGCGCGATCAGGCCTCAGCCAGCGGGCTCAAAGGCGCTGCACTAGGTGCAAGGAGACTGGGCACAACTCGCGCACATGCAAGACTGATACTATTAATATAGAGTAATCTACTGTACTAATATCTTGCAATAATATTATCGCGTTGTTGAGATGCATCGCTTTAAAGTTGCAAAAGTTGGTGGGGTGCGCCGCTCGCCCATGGATCATGTTAGTAGATTTTTTTTGCAAAGATAGATGTCAGATATTCACTCTCATCTGGAATACTGATGAAATAGGTAATAATGGTGATGATATTGATTGTTGATTGTTTGTTGGTTCTGTCTACGGTTGTGGGCACACCTGGGGGGTGCCAAGCCTTCCTGTGATCCGATTGGCTCTCTCAGATGCCGGGTCGCGCTAGTCTAACCCAGCGTCTGTACGCTCTCATCTTCAACAGTGCTATTATCTGACAATAGAGTATAAACTTCTTTTTCGAATTTAGAAAGCTCTCGAGACATAGAGAGATAATAGAGAAGAGAAAATTTAGAAGTAGAAAGAGAAAGATATATAGAATAACACTAGTAGATTATTACGTAATTTTAGCGTACTTTTTTTAGCGTACTTTTCTTTACTCTTTGTTTTTAAAATTAACTAGATAAGAAAGCTTAGAAAGAGATTTGCTTACATAATGCTTATATAAGCCAGTATCTTAGGAACTCTTTTTAGAAATTTTTTTACGCTCAGTAAAAAGTTATACCTAACTCTCTTCTAGCTCTTTTTGAACTCTACTTTTACTGCCTTAGATTAGCTTTACTTTGCTTACTAAGTATATTTCATAGTAACCCTACCTGAAGAGAAAGTTCTTAACTTTCTAAAAAATTAAAATGTATTAGTCTAGCTAGTCGAGTTCTTTAGATATAGAGCTTAGAAATAGTTAACTTTTAAAAAGTCTCTTTCTTTTTGTCACCCGACTGTAATTAATCTAATTACTATAAGCGTTCAGTGTTAGTAGATTATGTTCTCTTACTAATATTATAGATACGTATTTAATTACTTCTTAATACTTATCTTCTTTCTCCTTAAGGTAGTTGTTGTTATTCAACCCTTAAGTGTTCTAACGATCGCGGGGATGCGGGGTTGCGGATGCGACCCCTCACTTTCTGTTGGGACTGCGCCGACAATCGCAACTAGCGGCATGCTTGCAATGAGCAGTTAACAGAGATAGTACTGTCTACATAAGCTGATAGTGCTGCAGAAGGAAGGTTGACCGGGCTTATAACTGTCGCACGGTTGGGTGCGGGTATTGTGGATAGAAAAACTAGGAAAGAGTGAATGTTCTATTGTTTGTAACCTCCTAGCTGAGCTTATATAAAGGTCATCGCACGGCGTTATTAGTAACAAGGTTTCCGACAGCGCTTGGCCTGCGACACATCTTCATTGCTACCGAATCTGCGCACGTAATCAATGACGGTATTGTGGCCCTTGCATCCCCCAACATCGACATGCGAATCATGCCAATGCATTATAAGCTGTGAGCAGCTTCTCCGATAAAGATTGCAACTGTGGCCATGTTAGCAAAAGCAACTCTTAATACTAGTATGACGGAGCCTTACATGCTTAGCTTCAAACATGTTGAAGTGATTTCCATCGATATCCATTGTCTCGATTTTGTCGCCTACAAGCGTCCTCCACATTTGTGTCGCCATCTTCCGGAAATCCTCGTCGTCCAACCAGGCGTACTTCAATCCGCGGAGGGTTGCCGTGTCACACGCCTCCCGACTAAGCAACATGACTGTTGGGACTTGGAACGACCCAGGAGGTCGTTTGTAATCCTTCAATAAGCCGGTGTTCCTTTTGAATTGCGCTGCTACGCAGGACCGGATATCAGGATGTGCCTCAAAGGCGGTACCGGCGATGTGTTCGATGATCGTGTCCGGAAGTAGCTCATGATCGATTGGATATGGAGAGTCGAGGAGAATCAGCCCTTTGACAGGAGTGCCGAGGTCTTGCAGTTGACGCGCGATCTCGAAGGCGAGGACGCCACCAAAAGACCATCCTGCATGATGTGTTAGTTCATTTCGACACGGTAGGTGAGCGAAGATCGAGAAGCTTACCACCTACTATGATGCCCTGTGCATCATGAACAGCCAAACCAAGCTCGGAAATGTATCGCCAAGCGAAATCGGCGAGGCTGTGAACTGAAGGGTCTATGCCAGCAAAGTCCAAGCTGGATACTCCGAAAACGTCACAACCTAGTGGACCAATCTTTGCATATTGGTGACTTAAACCACTTCCATCGTGGAATAGGTACACCCGACTTCGCGAGTCCTTGCCGTTCTGCAGTTTTGTGGCTGCAGCTGCACAGACTGGACTCGGTGTTAATTGCGGTGTGATTGGAGCCTGGGACTGAGAGAGCTTTGACAGGATCAGACTCTCCAATTGGCCAATGGTGAGCTCGGAAATGGTGCCGTGATCGCCATCGATGCTGATCCCGCCCATTTGTCGCAATCCTTGTTCCAGTTCCATAGACAGCAGTGAGTCTACACCAACATCCTCGAGAGACATGTCTTTGTCCAAATCGAAGATCGCACAGCCACATACTTGCTCCACCATATCTTTCACGACTCGTAACGGCGAATATCTGGTTGAAACAATCGGCTTGTTGTTGGCAGGCGCAGGAAGGATCTCCTCGTTCGCTCGAACAATCTCGTCAGAGTATATCGGGGCAACAGTCGCACCCAAGAATACAGCTTCCAAGTCGCGCAAAGTAGAGCACTGGCTCAGGTCCAGACCAGAGGATCCAGTTGGAGCAAGCTTCTGAGAGAGGGATTGTGTGAGCTCGATGAACAAAAGCGAGTCAACACCAAGTTGCGCAAGATCTGCATCGCCGTCTATTTCGGAAGCTATGCCACATAGCCTGGAGACTTCGTGACGCACGACGCTTCTAATATCCGGTTCTGGCGTTCTCTGTCGAATTGAGTGATGTTTTGGCATTTCTTGGTGCAGCTTATCCATTGCTGAGTCGCGGCGTGGAGGTGCCGGTCTCTGACTCTGACCGTTTCCTGCCAGGCGTGCCAGGTGGTTCTGGAAACCCTTCAGTCCCGTCTTCTTGAAATGCATGCCCTCGGCTATCGCTATCACCTGTCCAGATCTGTCCATCGCGTACGCGTCTCCGATGACGAAACCATCGATACAATCTACCATGCTGGCATAAATGCTCAGATCGTCACCGACTGAAGCAGAAATCCGGTCGTGGAGAAGCGTGATGTTCTCTACTTTGACGCATATACAGGCTTGGTCACGATTGATCCAGTTGTTTGCAACAAAGCCCGCCGTATGCAATAATGTATCCACAAGAGCGGGGTGGCAGACAAACTCCGCGTTGGAAGAATTGGCCGGGAGGCGAAAGCTACCATATCCTTCGAGACCACTTGGACTGATGCGGAGACGCCGCAGAGTCAAGAATGGGTCAGAGTAGGCCACTACGCGTGGGAAAACGACGTGGTAGATCATGCGAGTTGAGAAGCTATCGCCAGCTCCATGGCCCCCATTGATCATCGATTCAACATGCTTCATGAGGAAAGCGGACTTGCGGCTCAGCAGCGGCTTGACACTGGAAACAGCTTCCAAATCTATCGTGCCAGTGCAGTAGCATGTGCCCGATTTCTCAGCTTTGAAGGCATAGCCATGACCCTTAGCCCTAGCATCTTTTTTCTCCATGACCAATGCAAGACTGCCTTCATCCTCCAGGGCACTGGATTGAACAAGTGGAGATTCGAATATGATGTCTCTCAACACCTGTGTTTGTCCCTGTAGCGCCGGATGGACCTGATCCATGGCCTGAAGAGCCAGTTCGAGATAAATAGATGCAGGACAAAGTGGTGTGCCCCCAACGATATGGGCCCTAATGAAACTTGACATCAATGACAACCTAGCTTCAAAGGTCGTGATTGCTGTCCCAGTAGAGGACTTCTTGTCTAACTGGAAAAACAGTCTTGTCGCAGGACCGGATAGTGGCTTCTTCGATTCTGTTGACTCGACAAGAGGCTCCCGGAAGGGTATGACGAATTCAGCTGGGAACAAGGGATACTTTGGCGTAGCATCTAAGTATCTAGTCGATGATCCGGCATACACCTCGCTCCATTTGACAGGTGCAGACTCCAAGAAGAGGGCTTTCAAGGTTGTCAACATCGAAGCCCAAGGGCTCTCTGTAGGTCGAAGAGATGACATGTAAGTTGCTTCACCTTCTTTCAATGACTTCTTAACCAATGCAGTTGCTATCAGCTGTTAGTGGCTGGACCTGTTCTGGGTGGCACCTTTACTCACTTCCTGATGTGTGTCCGATCTCCAAAACTCTCATCTTCCGACCCACCGTGACGCTCTCTAAGCTGCGTATAGCATCGGAAAATCTCACGGGGCGACGCATGTGACTCGGCAAGAAATCTACTGAAAGGTCTTCCAGCCGAGCAAACCTGCCAAGGTGGCTGGAGAGGATGGTAATCCTGCCTTCTGACATCTTAATGTCCGAACAGAGCTCACGGTATGGATTGACTGCGGGTTCCATGGCAGGTGAGTGGAAGCCAAAAGGAACCTGCAATTGCAGCGCTTTGGTGCCCACAGCCTTGCAGTGTCGCAGGAAGGTGCTGAGATGATCAATATCTCCAGCCACAACACAATCCTCAGGGCTGTTTTCGCAAGCGACGGTAAGCGGTGCTGGTGTTCCAAACAGTTGTGCCAACTCGACCCGGGCGTCGTCGGCTGAAAGCTTGACTGCAACCATTCCAGTTTTGGCCGGGGTGCAGTGAGTGACAATCAGCTGAGCCCTCTGCGCAATCAATCTAAGAGCATCGTCGAGTTTCAAAGCTTCTGAAAGTACAAGGGCGGCGTACTCGCCCATGCTGAGATGACGTTAGTTGTGCGCTCGATACAGCAGAGCGATGTGGCACCTACCTATGTCCGACGACAAAGTCTGGTTCAATGCCCCACGATTGCCAAAGCTTCGCAAGCGCATATTGAACGACAAAGCATGCGCACTGAGAGACAACCTCCTCATTGCCCTTGATACCGGGACCATCATTGGTTATATACTGAACGATGCCCTCGATTCCTTGCTGTCGGAGGCTTGCGTCGCATTGGAGCACAGTTTTGCGAAATACCGGTGCTGTTGATTGCAACTCAGCTCCCATGCCACGGTAAAGATTAGCTTGTCCAGAAAATACAAAAACGTTCAAAGGTTGTGCTTTCTTCGCGCTTCGTTTAGTCGTATCTGTGTTCGCCAGCTGTTCCGCGAGATCTTGGATGGATTTACCCGTGACCGAGATGCGAAACTCATCATGATGTTGTCGCCGTGCATTTGCACTGTAGCATAGATCGGCCAGGGGGATGATATTTTCATGAGATTTGTTGCGCAATAGGTCCAGATAGCGAGAGAGTAATTCGACCAGAGCCTCCTGAGTTTTCGCTGAAATGTTCAGGATATGTGTAGACCTCGAATGTGACGACGCTACCCAAGTCGTAGTGCGACACTCCTCAAGGATAAGGGCTGCATTCGAGCCAGCAGCACCAAAGTTGTTTAATAGAGCGCGCCTCGGGCTATCATGAGTACTATTCCAGTCCATGACTCTTGTGGGTATCATGATGTTGTGGTCGGCGATGCTCGACAGACGCGGATTGAGATGCTGGAATGATGCCTGGGGCGGGATCTTTTTCCTCTGCATCATGAGCAGCAACTTCGCCAGGCCAACGCCCCCTGATGCGGCTTCGGCATGACCTATGTTGCCTTTGATGGAGCCTAGGCAGAGAGGTTGCTGGCGTCCAGATCCCTGTCCTAGGACGGCTTGGAGACTGGTAATCTCGCAAAGATCACCAGCTTGGGTACCTGAACGAGTTAGCGATGCTGCACCTACAAAGTCCCTCGACACGTACCTGTTCCGTGTGCTTCCACTACGCTGATAGACCGGGCGGGAATCTTGGTTCGATCCAAAAGACTTCGCATGAGCAGAGCTTGTGTTTCCGCATCAGGATGGGTGATGGACTTGGAAGTACCCGACTGATTTACCGAAGTCCCTCTGATGATGCCGTGGATCCGATCTCCGTGTGCAATGGCGTCTTCCATACGTTTCAGCACGAATACCACTGAAGACTCTGCGCGACAATAACCATCGGCGGCAGCATCGAAGGGTTTGCATTGACCGGTTGGGCTGAGGAAATGCGCGCGCGCGAGGCCGAGATACATCTGCAAAAGCACTTGTCGTTAACATTATTCAAAAACTTGGTAAACTTTCCTTGGCGTAATCTCACGTATAACACGGCACAAGCGGGGCTCTTACATCTGGACTGGAGATGACGTTTACTCCTCCTGCTAACGCTGATACAGCATCACCACGCTCCAATGCTATGCAGGCCTGATGTATCGCCACAAGTGATGATGAGCACGCGGTATCAATAACCACAGATGGTCCCTTGAATCCGAAAGCATAGGATATTCTCCCACTAAGGAATGCTCGTAAGGTCCCTTCTTGGGTAAGCTTTCTGTCGTTGGTGTTTAGTGCGAATACATACCGGGACTGTAATACACGTCGATATCGCTTCGCGTATTATCCACGTAGTCTCCTGTTGCAGCTCCGATGAAGACTCCCATCTTGTCCGGCTGGAAAGATTCGGTCGTATTTGGGGCGTACCCGGCGTCATCCAACGCCCTCAACGCAGATTGCAATATAAGCCGCTGCTGTGGATCCATGGACTTTGCTTCTCGCGGGGATATCGAAAAAAACCTATTGTCGAAGTGGAACGGGTTCTTTAAAAAATTGCCGTGTTTCGCGGCCATCTTGCGGGGCTTCGAATTGTTGGAAGCATCTTTGTCGTAGTAATCGAAGAGATTGAAACGAGACGATGGAATCTGGAAAGTTAGCCTGAGACGCAGTCATGAAGAGATTCATTACCTCAGTCGAAACGTTAGTGCTGTTCTGCAACATGTCCCAAAATGCGTGGAGGTCTTCACCGCCCGGTATATCCACCGACATTCCCACGATTGCAATGTCCGATTTGTGCCAGCTCTCTGATCCGATCGACTTCGACGAGGTACTTCTCAAAGTAAGCATATGGTAATTGCGAGATGAAGTTGATGCGTACCTGTGCTCAATCTGTAGTCTTTGGTGCAAAGCCGTGTTCTTTGCTGATGTGAAGAGAGATCCCCCGTTGGGACCCAGAGCCAGTACCCTCGAGCAGAGTTCGGCGTTCATGTCTAGGCGCTGCGATGCAGAGTCCAAGATATTGGATGCGGTCGCCTGCCAATCTACTGGATGGATGAGCATACAACGGATGGCAGCCTCCAAGAGCGTATCTGATTGAGGTTGTGTCGATGCGAGGAAAGTGCCGTCTACTGTTGAGCGTACTGGAATTTTCAACGCTTCCCAGTCTGGAAAAGGAATCTCTAGCCTCTTCACGTCTCGAAGTATGTCTTGAACCACCTCCTCCATATCTTCCCCCCCATGATAGCAAGTGTGGATGAATGCAGGCCTGTGTGTTGAAGTCGTTGGTAAAAGACTCCGAAGTCGATCGAGATCAACGCCAGTTCCTGAAAGCGAAAACATATCATCGCCGAGCACCGCAGATACGCGAACTCGGTGTGAAAGCTAAATCATTTAGCCATGTACTATATACTTATGCATAGCAAAGATTGGGATCTTACTTGAGATTGAGCGCTTGTCAATGCCGTCTCCAGAGCCTCTTTGGTGAGACCCGCCACGACCAAAGACCAGGGAAGGGCCCCCCATGTCGCTCCAGCGAGAGACTTGGAGTATGAAGCGCTCCTTATGGAAGTCCAGAACGCCAGCCGAAAAGTCCCCACGGCATATTCTAGGAATTGTGGGGATTCGATTGGGGTGTTCACTGCGACAACGAGTGCGGGCAGAATGCCAGAGCAGAAGCCAGCTGCTTCAGAAATTGTGTCGTGTGGTTGTCCTTCTCGTTCTCTCTGTACGTAAAATACATACTCCAGAATTTGATGAAGGTAGAAGGTCACCGCCTGTATGACTGGATTCTGGGCGAATGTAGCTGACGGCTTAACCAGGTCCTGGGGTGTTGTGAGTGACTTGGCATCTTCTTCAGTCAGAATCGTCCTCTCGCTAGTATCGATTGTCGAGAAATCTTGTAAAAGGGATTCATGGCAGCGTTGAAGTATGAGGGAAGCGATGTCGTGCTGTGCCACCCGGTTCAACAGAGTCGTCGCTGAAGCCGAGGAAAACGTCGCTCTTGATCCCTGGCCGGCAAAAAGAAGTACGAATTCGGACGACATCTGTTACCAATTACCAGTGATAAAATTGCAGTATAGTTGCAACCGCATTGAAGGTTCAGTAGGTTCACAGTATGTGGATGACAAATCACGTGTTTGCAGCAACAGTGTGTCGTGTCAGTGAATCTGGCCAGTAGAATTACATCCCACTGTAAAAGTAAAACCATAAAATGAATATCAACATGTGTGCAGCGAACATAGTCAACGACGCAGGTCCGGTTATCGTCTTACACGGAACGGTTGACGTGGACCCGCGTACAGCCTCTACTGGCGTACGCAGGGCCCTGGACTTGCCGCGCGAAACGTGTTATCTGCGGATTTATGATACTAGGTTTTGAACAGGGAAAGAAGAATGAACGGGCATACAAACGCATTCGAAATGGGGGACAGCTACGCAGAAAATCGCTTCATTCGACCAAGATTCAGTCCTAGGTCACCTCCTAATGACGAGGCCCTGGAAAGCGACTCGATCAATTCTTTGCCCCAGCTCATTCGCCACAATGCCCTCTACAACCCTGACAGGATTTTTTGCATTCAAGGCCAAGAGAGCTCGGAGAATCCGCTTCCGATAAGCTTCAAACTACTGGAAAATGCCGTATCAGCCTGCTCTTCGTGGGTTGAGGAACAACTTGGACTGGGTAGGGATGGGTCTGAGCAACGCGTGAAGTGCCCTGTTGCGCTTTATATGAAGTCAGATGTGGGGTTGTTCATCTACATCGCCGCCTTGTTGGCTTCCAACATTCCGGTAAGTATCTTCATCGAGATTGAAACTGAGGCACTAAATTTGCTTCAGGTGGTGCTTCTCTCTACACGTCTCAGCGAGACGGCTGTCAATCATCTCCTAAAAGAGACATGCGCATCAACACTTCTTGTCTCCTCTCGGACTCGACGAGGTCTTTCGCCGCAGACTGCGACGCTGGTTACTCTAATAGACGCTAAGCCATACCGACATTTTCTGGACGTCAAAAGTTCACTGGAGGGGCGCCAGCTCATTGGTGATGAGAAGGACCGAAATGTATTGATTTTACATTCATCCGGCACGACCGGCCTACCGAAGCCCATAAGGTTGGCACATCGCTACCTGCTGGGCTATGCAGCTTGTCATGATTTCGCCGAGAACGAGGAAACAGATTGGCGCAATCTATCTACACTCCCGTTGTATCACGGATTCGGGCTCCTAGCTCCTTGTTTGAGTCTGTCAATAGGAATGACATGCTGCTTCCCACCTTCGAACACGATTCCGGCGGGAGAGTCCACCGTACGCCTATTAGACCTTTTCCAGGCGTAGTCTTTGATGACAGTGCCGAGTATATTGGAGGACATGGTCTCAATGGAAGGTAAACCATTACAGGCAGCTATGACGGCTCTCGCGACATTGCGATTCGTAGCTGTAGGTGGTGGTCCAATCAAACCTCAAGTTGGCGAAGTACTAGCAAGCAACGATATCAAATTGCTTAATCACTATGGAGCGACCGAAATAGGTGCCGTTGCCTACATCTTCTCACCCGGGGAAGACTATGATTGGCGGTACCTCAGATTGCGCCAGGACATTGGCTTGCAACTTCGACCTTTGAGTGAGGCCGGCTCCTCCCCAACATACAGGCTTACAGGCTTTCCGTGTGCATGGGACGAACCATTTGAGATTCAAGACGAGCTAGAAATGCGTCCAGAATCAAAGTTTGTGGAGGTCAAGATCCTGAGGAGGTCCGACGATCTGATTGTGCTGAAGACTGGGGAAAAAGTGGCCCCCGGATTATTGGAGGAGGCACTGCTAAAAGACCCTACTGTGCGTAGCGCAATCTGCTTAGGCAACGGAGCATTCGAACTAGTTCTACTTGTTGAACCAGCTCGTTCCGTGGAGCTTAGTCTGGATTCTTTCGTTGACCACATTTGGAGCTTGGTCAACGATATCAATCCCTTGCTGGACCAACACGCGCGCATATCTTCCAAGGCAGCGATCATTCCCAAACCCCCAGGAAAAGAAATACGACGGTCTGACAAAGGATCGGTGATGCGAAAAGAGGTACAGGAAGACTTCAAGACAGAAATACAGCAGGCCTACGAGGCTCTGGAGTCTTCTGCTCCGCTTCAGATCCTGCAACCGGAAAATCTCGGTATTCAGCTAGTCAACTTGGTCAAAAGCTTGTTGGTGGAGTCTGGAAGGGCTTCAACGACTCTTGATCTGAATGACGACATGTTTGAGGCTGGTCTGGACTCTTTGGGAGCCGTGCGTCTCACTCGCGCTATAAACGCTTCTGTGCGAAACTCATCGACAGTGAAGCCACCGGTCCTCAAGCCCGATTTTGTCTACCGAAACCCAACCTTCAAGCTCCTTGCTCACGCACTGAAACCGTTCCTTATGGGGGAGTACCAGCCTTCAGTTCAAGAACAGAGCCGAGAAGTACGGATGAGGTCGATGTTATCACACTTTCTCGATGGTTGTTCCAGTGTAGCGAACTCTGGTGCGGTTGTTCTTCTCACGGGATCCACCGGCAGTCTGGGCGTCCATGTCCTACGACAATTGGCGATGAGCTCTCAAGTCCAGCGAGTCCTATGTTTGAACCGTCCAGGTTATAGGAACGGCGTACGCTCAAGTCAGACTTCCCGGCAGACGGATGCTAATACAGCTGCTGGGATTTCTCTCTCCGTGGACATGTGGGCAAAAGTCGAGTTCCTGGACGCCAACATGCAAGCGTCAGATTTGGGCATCACCAAACAAGACTATAGTCGTCTCACAGGATGCGTGACGCACATAATGCACCTCGCCTGGCCGATGGACTTCAAACGCAGCCTCAAGAGCTTTGAGCCTCATGTGCAAGGCACAAAAGCGCTGGCTGATCTGGCCATTGCTACATATGAGGCTAGTGATCGAAAATTGAAACCACGGCTCTTGTTTGCTTCATCGATTGCTGTCCTCGCACGGTACGAGAATGAGCAGAACCACCTGGTGCCGGAAGTAGCCGTGGACGATCCGCTAGTCACAGCTCCGATGGGATACGCCGAGGCCAAGTGGGTTTGTGAGCAACTGCTTCAATCAATGGGGAATCATGAAGGCGACAAGTTCGATCCAATGATTGTCAGAATCGGCCAATTGAGTGGCGCTGAGAATGCTGGAGTGTGGAAGGTTGAGGAGCATTTCCCCACGCTCGTCAAGCTATCGCAGCAGGTGTCTGCCTTTCCTGCGTTAAAGGGCGTAAGTTTATCATATTCCCTCCATCTTGTGAATTTTCTGACATGGCGCAGAGCTACTCGTGGTTGCCGGCCGACCGAGCTGCCAAAGTGGTGATTGATTTGCTCTTTCAACCAGACCCGCCGAATTCCGTCTTTTACCATGTTGAGAACCCAATTCGTCAGTCAAACCAGGACCTAGCCATGATCATACAACACGAGTTGGGGTTGCGCGAACCATTGCTGCCGTATGAGACGTGGCTTGCGAGGGTTCGCGAAACTGGACAGGCCAAGGAACTGCTCGAATTTTTCGAAAACGACTTTGAAAGACTTTCAGGTGGGAGAATATCGTTAGATACTCGAGTAGCTAGGCTAGCATCGCCAACTTTGCAGAAGGCTAGCGGGATGAAGAAGGATTTGATTGTGAAGTACATCAAAGCATGGAAAGAGATGGGATTTTTGTCCAGTAACGATAGAGACAGTAGATAATAAATACAAGGCCTTTACCCATCGACATCCATTCAGGTTATGCAAGCTATACATCTTACTGTGCAGCAGGAACAAGGAACGATCCAAAGTATTCGTCCAACATCTCGACATCGTCCATTGGCGCCGTGATGCCGACCCACAGATCTGGGCGTATTACCGCCAGACCACCATTCTTACGATCGGCACCCCAAGTAGTGTGTGCATTCTCATCAGGCGCGCGGTCATCGAAGACGAAAGTGGCCACCTGCTTCAGATTGTCCATGCCATCATGTGGCAACAATTCGTCCAATTCGAACGGAACACACTCCACAACCACCACGATATTAAACATTGAAGAACCGCCAAAGCGTTGGTAGAATCCCGACGGGCCAAGGGCCTCGGCGAATTTGCTGATAGCCTGACGTGATGGGCCACGGAGTGACGATGCAAAGAGGACAATATGAAGCCTGTCTGCGCCTACGAGCTTATCGTACAGATAGCCGGTCTCGGCGGTAGAAAAGCAGACTCGTGGGTTCGGTGCGCGTACGCCGTTGCGAACGTTTATGGCGACGCGTTTCCCTTGCTTCGGAGACGGGCTGATGACAGAAGCATCGTACGGTGCGTCTACACCGAGCAGGAAGTGGCCGTTTCCTTGGAAGAAACTGGCGAGGAATTTAAGCTCCCTCTCCGGGAATTCGCCAGTGGGTTCCTCGGCGAGCGGCATAGGCTTCAATTCGTCGGGCATATCAGCAGCGACATGGAGGTCAGCGTTGCACACGAACCGCAGATATCTACCGGAGACTTTGATGATGCGGACGGCATGAGGGCGCCGCTCAGAACTGTAGGTAGGCAACAAAGCTCCGAATTGCGCCTTTTTGCGGGCCACAAAACCCAATTTCCAGGCGAGATTGGCAGCATCCATGATGGAGGCATTCAGGCCAAAAGCGCCCATAACGCTATGAACGTGTGCTGCATCTCCAAGGATGTGAGCACGATTGTCTGGTGAAGAAAAGGATCGAGCGACTCGCTCCGAGACTTCACATTGTCAGCGCGTATCGCACATGGCAGTCGATGGACCTACTCTTCCAAACGGCGAACCAGCTCAACGGCGCAGCAAACTTGAGCGTATATGGAGCAAATATCTTATTTGCCTGCTCTAGAACCTCTTCGGGGGTGATGGTGTGCACGTCGACCCTGCCTCCTGCCTCTTTAAATGATGCATCCTGAGCCTGACGAGACGCGGCGAGAGGGCCGGTCTGCGAAACGTCCAACTGCGTGTAAAGTCTAGAAAATTAGCTGTGCCTTTGCAAAAAGAAATCTTATGCACGCACCTGATGTACCCATCCTCCCTAGGTATGATGACACATCCTCCATGTTTCGAGCTGATGACAGAGCCGAAAACAAACGCGTGCGGGTAGTCTGAATCGAGTCGACAATCCAAGATGCCCCAATAGATATCCGTGCTCATGCCGTCGAAGGGGATATTGAGTTGCTTTCGGACCATGCTGGCCGCTCCATCGCTACCTACGAGGAACTTGGCCTTCACCAGCTCCTCCGCTCCAGTGCGAGAATTGCGTAGTGTCGCTTGAACCGAATGAGAAGATGACTCGTCCATCTCGAATTTACTCATGATTGTGCTGCGCTCGACGAGCGCTTTGTGGCGTGTCAGGTCACGGATGTAGATCCTCTCGACTTGCCCTTGAGTAATGATGTGAAGTCCTCGATAGCGCGAATCTGACTGGTGAGATGGTCCAAATAGCAATTTTTTGCCGTCCTTGTAGATGGCAGTTCGTTCGATCAAAGGCCCCTCTTCTGCAACCTCCTTCTCAAGGCCCCAAGTTGCCAGGGTTTCGAGGAATCGCGGTTGAACGCCATCAGCTCGTCCTGCTATGAGAGGCCCCTCAGCCTTGTCTTATACTTTCTCAGTTTCTTTTCATCGTAGTGAGATGGCTGACCTACCGATGATACGAAAGGAAACGCCTTGTCTAGCAAGACTGACAGCAACTTCGAGGCCACTGGGCCCAGCTGTAATCGTGTGTCAGTGATAAAAACATACAGCTGTCGCAGTCTGTACCAACCTCCACAGATGAGTACATCGACTTCCTTTTGGGGCTTCCACCAAGCTGGGATACCATGCGGGTTATTGGTGCCATCGTAAAGCGTAGGCCATGTGCGCAAGACGTTAACTCCAAGGTCATTATGTTGGGAGCTCGTCACCACTTCTTTGGAAGGTGGAAGTGTGGTACCGTCGATATCGTTGTCTGTCTCCCATTGCGGAATGGCAGAAGGCTCTCGGAACCCCCGCTCCCACGTGAAAGATGCAACCGATTTCGCCATTTCTCTATACAAAGCTGAAAGAATCAATCAATACACTGCCGCACTCCATCTCATAACCGAATCTATTTCTTAATGTTCGCCGGGTCTGACATCAAAGTGAGGTGGTGAGGTGGTGAGGTCCGCTGTACTCCGGTCCGCTGGTAGTTCTGATCAGCGACACAACGTACTCCGGCATCTAGGTGACCCAAATCGCAAACACATTTAGAGATTGGACATGAATGTACTTGGATGAATATTCACAACACTTGATCGAATTATCTGGACACGCACAAAGTTCTCCGTGACCATGGACCCCAACTCAACCTCGGCGAAGCTCATTCAGCTCGGTGTGCTAGTACAGTCGGCTTTGGCGACACTCATAACATCCAGTGAACAGAGCAAGGAATCACTCCCCCCCAAAGAGTTGTTCAATGCCCAAAGAACGATTCTCTCCGCAGCAGGCATGCTCACGGAGCTTGTGAGCACGCCAAGCAACCGTCTTTTGGAAGTGTCAACGCAATACTTTGAGGCGCGTGCCTTGCACATTGCAGCTGAGAAGCGAATCCCAGATATGCTTGTCGGTTCCGATGAAAGCGGCGTTGCCGTGGAGGACCTGGCAAAGCAGGTAGGCATCGAGTCTACAAAACTATGTCAGTACCACCGTCGTGTATGTGCATGAAAGATGCCAGCCATGCTGATTGGGTACTCTGTGAATATAGCTCGACTCATGCGTTGTTTGTGTTCCATCCATATCTTCAAAGAGGTTCAGCCCGACCGCTTCGCGAATAACCATGTGTCGGCTGCTTTGGTCGGTAACGAGCCACTCAGAGCATACATTGTCATGTTGTAAGGCATTCCTGATCGTTTAGAAAGATTGCATTCTAAACACGTGCGTAGCGCTTTTGACATATACTCGGCGTCTGATCATCTACCTCGATCGCTCTTTGACAAGAAAACGGGCCCTTCTTTCGACGTCATAGATACAGCTTTCCAGGCAGCAGCAAATACGCAAAAAGCACGATGGGACTGGCTAGAGGAAAAGGTCACGGTGCAAAACTTGCAGGACGGACGTTGCGGAACAGACGGAGGACCTAGCGGCTATCCAGGTCCTTTTGGGTCTGAACTCGACAAGGCAGTGCAAGGAAAATCCGCGTCTGACCTGGTAGGGCGGCCTGAACTGCCCATTTTCGGGCTCGCCATGGTTGGCGGAGGTCAAGTCTTTGGCAAGGCTCATCTATATGGCAAGTATCAGAGATCACCATCAGCCAACAGGGTAGCTAACAATCTGCCTAGATTATCCATGGGAGTCGCTAGGCTCTGCGCTCGTGGTTGACGTGGGCGGAGGTGTGGGCGGTTTCAGTCTCCAGCTCTCGCAAGTCCATCCGCAATTACAATTTGTCATCCAGGATCGCGCGGCGATGCTGGAGCAAGCTGAGAAGGTGGTCTGGCCAAAAGACAACCCAGATGCCGTCGCGCAAAAGAGGGTGCAATTCTGCCCTCACGACTTCTTCGAGCCTAATCCGATCAAGAACGCCGACGTTTACTGGCTTCGATACGTGATACACGATTGGTCGGACGACTTTTGTGTCCGGATTCTTACGGCTATCAAGCCCAGCATGGGCCCGCGGTCGCGGATTCTGATCTGCGATCAGGTCATGAACACAACGTTGGGTTCGGAGGAGCTTGCCGCTGCACCTGCTCCTCTGCCTGCAAACTGGGTAAGTTAAAAGGCCAGCGAAGCGTATAATCCGCTGACTCTATAGGGCTATTACACTCGTTACTCGCATCAACGCGACCTTGCGATGATGGCGTTGTTGAACGGCATTGAGCGGACGCCTCGCGAATTCCGCGTCATCGTTGAGAAGGCGGGATTGAAGCTGCATAAGATATGGGACTGCCGTAGTCAGGTTTCGTTGGTGGAGGTTGTACTGCCAAATTCAGAGCTCGTGTAAGATGCGGTTGTTGAAGTGTCGGAGTAACACAAAGGTGATGGTGGCGGGACAGGTGATTGGTCAGTATTTTAAGGACAACTTACAAAGTCACGTGTTTTCAAGTCGAAAATGGGGCTACATATGGGAGCATGCCGCAGTGCATGCGTATATGCACGTAGAGCCCCGGATATGCGGCATGCTCAGGAGAAAAGTCACATGCTCAATCTTTGCATTTAATCCATTGGCACAGAAAGTAATCATGTTCTCTGACTACCGAGGTATTGCTGAATTCCCGGGGTCATCCTACGAAGCCCCTTGCCTTGTGCTCGCTGGCACCACTCGACGTGCTCTAGCATCACCGACGATTCTCGCACCTTGTACGAGCCATGCCACAGTGACAGCCTCCGATGGACTCTGTGAACCGTGTCCCGTCGATCAGCGCCTTCAGTTGTCGCAGTCCGTGGTGGTTGTGAGGTCTTTCCAGCTCTCAAGCTCCTTCTTGTACCGGTCAATGTGACCCGACACAAACTGGTAGGCATCGCTGCCCAGACTCAGACGCACAGGTAGCTCTCGTCCCTCGCATCGGCCCGTTCCCGTAAGCGCTTCATCAATCAACTTTGCGCCTTTTTGTGGGTCGCCGGGCTGCTTGTGGTTATAAGCCTCGAGACCGGCGTACGTGCCGTCGACGCCTGCGGCCAAGTCCGCGATGCGGTTAGCCGCCATGGTCTTGTGTCCGGAGCTTAAGAAGTTGGTGCGGAAGTAGCCAGGCTCGATGGAGGTGACCTTGATGTTGAGATGGGCGACCTCCTGGCGCAGTGATTCCGCGAGGATGGTGGCGCAGGCCTTGGTGGCGCAGTACAAGCCCGCAGCAGGAGATCCAGCCCAGCCGCCAATGGAGCCCAAGTTTGCGACGACGCCAGAGCGCTTCTTGCGCATCACGGGCAACACGGCGCGGATGATGTTGAGCTGGCCAAAGACATTGGTGCTGAATTGCGCCTCGACTTCGCTGCGGCTGCACTCCTCGACCCCGCCGGCCAGGATGTAGCCGGCGTTGTTGACGAGAATGTCGATCCCGCCCGTCTTCTTCACAATTGCATCGATGCGGCTGCTCAGCTTTTCATCGCTATCGAGCACATCGAGCTGCTCCGTGATAGCACCACGCTCGGCGAGCTGTGCAAGCTTGGTGGGGTCACGCGCGGTAGCAACGACTGTGTCGCCGTGGGCCAGCGCGGCCAGGGCGATTTCCTGACCGAAGCCAGACGAGCATCCAGTAATGAGCCAGACTTTTACCATGATGATTTTGAGAATCGGAGAGGTTGTGGTAACAACGGAGTTAGGTGCGATGCCGTGTTTATAAAGCTTTGCTCTTTGTTGTGCGGCGTGGTGAAGGGTTGGGAAACCCGGAGTTAAAGTCCAGGGCCGGGACCGGAGTATGCATCGTAACTACGAAGAGTGCGAGTGTGTCCCAAAATATCGCATGTCCCAGCCAAGGTAAATCACATTGTTGATTGCTGGGGAATTGATTCCCACTTGCGCCAATATCCTTCTCAGCACAACATGACCGACTCTGCCGAACCCAGTCGTGCCGTCTACGGCTTCAAGGTACACAATCATTGCACCGTTTTGACATTACGATGATATAGCTAACTCAAACCAAAACAGTGGTTTTTGGTCGTACTTGCCATCGTATCCAGCCTCGGCCTATACGCTCTGGATAACACCATCGTCGCGAATATTGTTCCCATCATCATTCAAGACTTGGGCCAAGCTGAACAGCTTGCCTGGCTTTCTGTGGGCTTCACTGCCGGAGGTCTCTGTCTTCTATTGCCCCTTGGCAAGATATACGCCCTCTTCGATCCCAAATATGTCTACCTCGCTTCGGGACTTCTTTTCTTCGTCGGCTCTGCACTTTGCGGTGCGGCTCGCAACATGAACACCATGATTGTGGGTCGCGTAGTGGCTGGAATCGGCGGAAACGGGTTATACATGGGTTCTGTTACCCTCTTGTGCCTCAACACCTCGCCGCGAGAAAGACCTGTGTACTTGAGCCTCAATGGCCTCATCTGGGGTGTCGGTACTGTCCTCGGACCTATCTTGGGAGGCCTCTTCGAAAGTGCCGGCGCTGGCGGATGGCGATGGGCCTTCTATATCAATCTATGTGCAGGTATGCATCCATGTGTATGGACCGGAGGACTTTACTGACCTGAAATGAGGCGCTGTTCTCGCTCCAATCTGGATATTTCTCCTTCCTTCGGCATCGCCGGCTGACAAGCCCTCGAAACGCGCTCGCGCTGCCAGATTAGATTGGCTTGGTACCATCTTCATACTCGCCTCCATGCTTCCACTGGTGCTGGCAGTTGACTTTGGAGGCAGGCTGTTCAGCTGGAGTAGCGCTGCCTCAATCGTCCTCTTCGTCCTCGCCGCCGTATTTCTGGTTGTGTTTGCGGTACAGCAACATTTCAGTTTTACCACGAACGAACGAGATCGGCTCTTCCCCATGCATTTTATGACCAATGGTCACGCTGTGCTTCTAGCTGTCATTGCAGCTGCATGCGATGTCTTCACTTTCGTACCGATTTACTACATTCCTCTTTATTTCCAGTTCACACGTGGCGATGACGCTCTCCAGTCAGGTGTTCGACTTCTTCCCTACATTGCACTTCTCAGTGCCGCCATGCTGGCGAATGGGGCTTTCATGTCCAAGGTGGGTCACTACAAGGCATGGTACGTCGTCGGAAGTGCACTCGCACTCATAGCCACTGTTCTCTTGTGTAAGCGTCCTCGTGCCCTACATGCTTCGCAATCTCACACTTTAGCAGCTCGAGTAACGATCGACACCCCGACACGCAATATCTATGGTTTCGAAATACTTCTTGGTTTGGGCTCGGGCGCCTATGTGCAAGCCGGTTACGCTGTCCTCTTTTCCATCCTCGAGCCAAAAGACATGGCCTTTGGTACTAGTTTCATGATGTTAGGTACGGGACCTGACTCACTTTCCAGTCGCATATGTATTTGCTGACACTGACCCAGCGCAACTTTGTGGCATCACCTTTGGCCTAGCTATCGCCAGTGCAATCTTCGTCAACGACGCCGTATCCTCAATCGCTACCGTTCTCCCCAATTTGTCAAGCGAACAAGTTCAGCATGCCATAGAAGGGGCAGCAGGCGAACTCTTCTCGGGTCTCGATAAATCGTCGCAGACTGCGCTTTCCAACGCGCTGGTCAATTCTTTGCGAAAGACGTACGTCATGTGCCAAAATGCACAGCCTTTCCTTGACTGACCTTGCTCGGTAGATTCATACCATGCTACGCAGCAGCTGCATTGTGTCTGGTTCTTTCTGTCATACTACCAGTAAGTCCTCTCGTCTTATCAACAGCCATTCGCCCCCTAACATCTGCAAAGCACAAACAGATGCACGCGAGTTCCCCGTCCGACTCAGAGTCCGCGCTCACGGACAAGGATGCTGGCCGTGTCAAGGAAGCGGATGAGTCAGAGAGCCAATAAATACATGTCTCGTCTCGAGGTGATGCCAACTTCACATTACACAAATAGCCAATCGAGACGGAGATGGCATGTTGCGCCGTGTTCTCGGGTAAGGATACACACCGGATGGAGAGATTGTGCGGCTTCACGTGTTGGGGAAATATATTCTAGCATCCATATAAGGTAATATAAATCGTTACTAAAGCTATTCTATTTACTTTGGTTTGATGTGGTGGTTGTGGTGGTGGTGTGCTCGAAGCCAGTCGCGCCATGATTATGGAAATTTACCTAGATAGACTGCTCGTGCTGCACTTTGCTGCTTTTTCATCTTGGTTCGTTTTCAAAAAGAGTCTTTAATGCCGCGGCAGACAAGCAGACAACGGACCCGTTGTAGAGAGAGAGAGATGCAACGGCCGAGGCCCAAGAGCGACAAAAGGATTGGGATATAGTACAGTGGATTCGAAGGTTGAGTCTGCGTTGCAGAGCCTCAACGGCTATCTATAGGCAGGCGGTGCCAAGCCGCTAATCCCAATTAGCTACAAAACCTCAAGATCTCTCCTTCCATAGCAAGAGAGAGAGAGAGAGGTATAAAGCAAAAGCGAAATTCAGCATAGTGATTGCCCTGCCTTTGGCAAGATGCTCAAGTCATTTTACGCGATTTCTGGCACGGGTAGCTCAAAGTTTTGGAGTAAATAGGGCAAAGTCTTTGTCTTGCGGCTGCAGAGTATTTGCAGGGCGCTCAATGGATTATACAGACTGTGGTACCATGTGCCATCTACAAAGGGAGCTTTTGACCTCCGGTGACCAAGCGCTGGAAGACCAGAGAGGGATCGTACTGCCTCTGGACTGCTTGCAAACGCTCCACGTTCTTGGCACCATAAGACGCCAACACCTGCTGATTGTGGTCGGAGTAGTTCATCATTCTGCGACAGTCAGTCTCTGCAAGAGGAAAAAGTGTCGGAGCTTGTCAGCTTACATGTACGGAAACAGGATACCCAAAACCTTTGCTCGCACCTGCAGGGAGCGCACAAACGTCTCCCATGCGGGGAAGACCTCCTCGCTGTCGGCTGCATTGTTGAAGGTGACGCCGAGATAAAAGACTGGGCGAGTCAGAAAAAACGGAGCAGGTGGGTGTTGAGCTACGGGCTTACCAGAAAGAGTCGTGTTAGGCTTTGCTTGGTCAATGCCCAAAGCGTTGTGGCCGTTCTTTATGCCCTCGGCAATCGCTCGAGGCGTTATAGGCATGACCGTGTGCAAGCCATTGAAGCCATCAATATGAGCCATTGAAATACAGAATTTCTCCCATAGATCAAAAAGTTCGCCGAAGAAGGCTTCGTCTGGGTACACTGTGAAGGTGTAATGGGATTGGCTACCAAGTGTCAGTGTTCTTTCTTGATCAGGCAAAGGGAGATCCGAAACAAACTCACATTAGTCCGTCAGGAAAGCCGGCGACAAGATGGTTAGCCAAGTCGCCGTACTTTCTCGGTTTCATTGTCTGGTTTGTGTGAGGAATCTCGTCCCATGCACGCAGTGACTTGGGCAACGCCGTCGCGTTTCGGTTGGACACGACGGGGGTGTAGCCATACGTTGTGTTGTCAGCAAAGACATATGTCGGAAGGACGTGCATGTCTACATCCTCAATGGCGGTCTTGACGTGATAGTCGTACGTTGCCTTCTTCATGGCCCCGATGGAGGTGTGCGGGTAGGTATAGCGTCCACCAAAGCAGCCATCACTGGGGTGCAGGACGAGATCGTAGTGTGAGACGACACCAAAGTTGTTGCCGCCACCCTTGAGAGCCCAATGAAGTTCAGAGTGATGGGTGGCATTGGCGTATACGCTTGTGCCATTGGCCAAAACCACGTGCTGTCCGGCAACGTTGTCAACGCCCAGACCGTGGCGATTGTTCAGGTAGGAAAAGCCAGCGCCCAGCACAAGACCAGTGCCAACAGTGCCGAAACGACCTGCAACGGCCATGCGTCCGCGAGCCTCTGTAGCCTCATAGACCTCAGCCCATGTGAGGCCGGCGCCGACGGTGACAGTGGAGAGGTCTTCGCTAAAGGTGATGTCCTTGACGTGCTTCATGCTCACCAGGATGCCATGGTCGATATTGGCTGCAGCACGGATTGCGCTATGGCCACCCCCGCGAATAGCAAAGGGACAGTCATTTGCAGTGAAGATGGAGACGGCGGCCTCAATATCGGAGGCCTTTGTGGGGAGGAAGACGCAGGTCGGGTCTAGCCACTCGGTTGCCGCTACAGGCGGCGGTTAGCTTCGGGATATGTGGTGTTTGCGACGCTTGATTAGACGACAGAGAGCACGATCTACAAAGACACCGAAGATAGAGCAGACTTACACCAAAACGAGGTCTTGGTTTGGTAGTACGTGGAGGTACTAGAGCCATCTCGCGGGAAGGTCGTATTGGGCAACTGGGCCGCGAGTTGCGAACACTGCAAGTGTTAGGAGTGGCGAGTCACGCGTCTGGAGAGGGACGTTCTCACGCATTGCGTTACGGCGGGATCCTGATACGACAATGTAGTCGCAGTGCCAAACAGGGCAAGTGCAGTGGCTAGCGTCTCGACGAACATGCTCGCGCCAGTAATGAACCTTGAAGTTGATGCGAGCGTCCATGGCAATTGCCCTTTTGTGCTTTCATATGTACGTGTTAGTCCGCCTGGATGCGCCTGGGATTCGATTGGAGTGGACAAACTCCGGTCCGGTGCGTGGCGCGAACCGATTCACACCTGGGCTGTGGTACGCGGGTCCCGATGGATCTCCTGGGCTATAAAGTCACATGAGTGGCTCGCTTACCTATATCTCAACTGACCATCCCAACGCCGTGTTCTTTGCTACTCCTGGAAACATGAGACCTCTCCGCGCTTTTCTGACATTGGCTAGCTGTCAGCTTATCGCTGCCGCTGCCGTCCATGCGGCTGATGTCGTTTCAGGCCAAGGTAGATCGCTCCCTACGCATCGCGTTTGACAGAATCTAACGAGTACGTACCATAACTAGCTGATCTGTGCCACGACGTGGTCATCCCTGTGCATGTTGCAAAGTCAGCCGAGGGCAACTTCACCGGAAGCTACGATGTCAATATTCTCTTTGCATTGGCCGCTCGCAAGACCCTTGTTGCAGCAGACTACAACATCTCGGCCCGTGTCTGCAAGCCACCTACTAATGTTGCCGCCCTCGACACGGTACAGATACTCGCCCACGGCGCCACCTTCAACAAAAAGATGTGGGATTTCCCCTACAAGCCCGAAGAGCACAGCTGGACACGGCGAATGACGAATGCGGGATACACCACCGTTGCCGTTGACCTCATCGGTACGTGTTTCCGTGCACCATCGTGGACGCTCATCTAATCTTTGGCGGCGCACAGGTGCTGGAAACAGCAGTTTTCCTGACGGACTCAAGGAGGCGCAGACAGAGACGGCCGTGCAGGCCATGCACGAGGTCATCCGCCTCATACGCGAAGGACAGTACGTCGGCCGTCAGTTTAAGCAGATGGCATTTGTTGGTTTTTCCATTGGAGGTATCATCGCAAATGGATTGGCCGACAAGTACCCCCACGATGTCGATGTTTACGTCCTGATCGGCATCTCCTGGGATCTGACATGGATCTACCCGGCTTTTTTATCCATAGCCGGCCTGCAGACCTCAGCCCGGACCATAGACCCCGACCGCTGGGGTCATCTCGAGCCGTTTTACCAGACCCAACCAACAATCGAAGCACGCGAAGTCGCATGCTTCTACGGGGACTACGAAAAGGACGCCTTGGCTGCCGACTTTGCCACGCGAGACTTTGACACCCTCGGCGCCGCCATAACTTTTACCTACCACTTGGTCGACGCTCCTCACTTCACCGGACCCGTGTTCCTAGGCATTGGCGAGAGTAAGACAACCTCGACAACGAATGCTCGATTGGGGGCAGAGTGGCTGACCATATCTAGATGACGGGACGTTTTGTGGCGGCCCCAAGTGCGGCAGCCAGCCGTACGCCGTGTACGACAAATTCCCAACCGCCTCGGCTCACGACGTCAAGGTCTATGCGAATACTGGTCACGCAATCCTCTACCATCGGAGCGGGCCGAAGTTGATGGATGACGTGCAGAGCTTCTTGGCCGCGCATTGGCCGTGATCCAAGTCCGACGGGCTTTCCACCTTGCCGACCGCTGGTGGCGCAATCATATGGGATTTGTCCCATGGGATTGTCCCGAGATCTGCCGAAGTCGGAGCCGTTTCACAGAAACGTTCATTAATACTTGTAAGCCCAGGGCACCTTGCACGGTCACGTGGATTATCCACCAGCCAATCAGCCCACCACTTCATGTATATAAGCTTAGATCACGGACATCTCAGTCTAAAAAAACACGACACATCAATACAACTACCACTCCAACACGCATGCAAAGCATAATGTGTAGTAGTTTGCATTTGTAAATATTCTTGAAATTCAAGGCATAATCTCTATCTGTGATTTCCCTTGACTCGTGCTCACAATGTGAAGCAACTGGTCCATCAATCCCTTGTCGTAGTCTTCCAAAACCAGCGTAACTCGCTTGTACGTCGATTGTCCAGCCGATTGCCGACCGCACGACATGGGAGAGATGCACGAGTCCTCCTGCCACAGCGCCTTATTGTCCACTCCAAGCATGTCGTTGACGGACGGCTCGACGTGAGTCATGTTCAGTAAGTCGAATTGGTCCGGTGAGGCATCAAAAGGGTAACTATGGTCGACTTGGGGGTTGTCAAGATCTATAATGTCGTCCATCGAGAACGAAAGAGAAAAGGCATGTTCGGTTGGCGACATGGTTGCTGTGCCGAAATCATAAGATGAAAAGGGGGTGGGAAATGGACCGAGATCCATAGTGTCTTGACCAGCTGCCTTGGACGCAAAATCAATATTTGTATCCCGCACGTCTCCTCCATTATCGTAAATCATGTTGTTGTTGTTGTTGTTGTGGTGATTGTCGCCGTCCTCGTCATCATAGTCGTCATCTTCCTCCTCTTCACCATCATCTTCTGGGACACTGAAAGCCCTATCATGCTCATCATCTTCGTCATTCTCCGTATCTGGTGTATTCCGCTTGGTGGTTGCCGATGTCGACGATGATGCGCGTCGAGTGAGGATCGTGTATCTGTTCTTCACGTCGTTGCGAGAGCGGCCATGGAATCTTTGGTCTCGAATCGACTTCCAGTTCCGTCCCATTTTCTGCAAGGCTTGCAGTAATTGCTCATCCTGGTCTATCATCAGCTGTGCCGCACACTTGCAAGGTTGCACCCGCAGCCCCTCCCGCACGCATCTCGTATCACTAACCTCATCTTTCGTCCACTCCTTCAGATTCAACTGAGGATCCAAATGATGCTGCCATCTCTTTGCACATTCTCCAAACAACGTTAGTGAGTGTTGAGTCGCTGTTGGCGGATAGTCCACTTACGGTCCGCAGACTCCGCAACAATCAATCCAGATTGGTCAGATTGATTGATTTGATTGGTCATTTGGAGTTTTTACCAACTCAATCAACTCAATCTAAGCTTTTCAAAATAGCTAATCAAATCAACTTGCGAAGGTCAGATTGATTGATTTGATTAGTTAGATTGATTTATTATTAACGAGTTGTAAGGCGAGTAGTGTCGTATTAAGAGAAGGTTTTTGGTGTTGAAGATAGTTATCTTGGACCCCTATCTCGCTTAGCTTGTGATCCCTGTCGGCCGGGCAAGCCAGTCTCTATGCATTCACTTCTCACCAGCTAGCTCTCCTCTTATAGGACTAGCTCCTTCTGCTTAGGGGCTAGCCTCTTCTAGGCTTCACCCCGCACCTATATAGCTAGTCCTTCGCTGTTCTTAATACAACAACGATTTCGCTCACTCAGTTCCCTAATAATCCCTTACACACAACACTAGTTGCCTAGCTACCTATACAGACATTTTTCTTTAGTGTTTAGTATCGCCCACGATGGCCAAACGCTCTCGAGTTCCCACCAATACTGCTGCCGCCGCCGCCGCCGCCAAACGGGCGCGCCTATCAAGGCCCTCTGTCCTATCTCAGCGATCGCTGTCGCCTCAGGAAACCCTTGGCGCCGCCGTAAGCCAGGCCACAACGTTTGAGTCGCAATTTTTCGAGTCGCAAACAGAGGAGGAGGGTGCGGCTGAGGGCAGCCAGGCTGGTACAGCAGCAACAACAGAGGCTAGTGTTGATACAGAGCCTGATAATGGCGATAACTTTGACGGCATTAACTGGGATCGCCTCCCTCGGTTCATGAAGCCTCTTACAACTGGGCGGCGCGTCAAGAGTTGGATCTTTCAACATGGATATCGCGTTGTTGAGCTCTACGATCAGAATCGAGTGTGGTTTGTATGCAAATACTGCCACATCCACAAGGTCATTGACACTGGCGGCAGTGGAGTTTTTGACGTATCAAAGGCCACCTCCTCAGCTGCAGCTCATCTTGGCCTTCAGAAACGAGGCCATGGCTTTACAAAAGACGGCCTGAAGCCTCGAAGAACAGGGCAGCAACTCTCTCTACGACAGACGCTGGAGACTGGTGTTGCAGTCTCTCAAGAGGCTGCCAACGCGATGGGCAACTTCAACATCCAGCAGTTTCGTGAAGTTGCAGTGTTCTGCCTTCTTGATAACAACTTGCCAATGGAGCTACTTGCAAGGCCGTCCTTTCGCGAGATGATTAGCCTTGCAAACCCAGAGGCAGAGGCAGCTTTGTGGGTAAGTCCTCGCAGTGTAGCTACCTACGCAATGCGCCTCTTCCAATATATGCAGCCACAGATTGTCTGCGCTCTGTCAGAAGCTGCAAGCAAGATCCACATAAGCTTTGATGGTTGGACGACAAAGGGTGGCAAGCGTGGATTCTTTAGAGTCGTTGCACACTTTGCTAACGCCTCTGGAGTGATACAAGATCTCCCCATCGCCCTCCCACATCTCGCAGGCTCTCATACTGGTGATGCTATCGCTGATACAATTAAAAAGACGCTCCAAGAATACAGTATTGGGAGTGATAAACTCGGCTACTTCGTCCTCGACAATGCTGCAAACAACGATACTGCAGTCTCCTCGCTCGCCCACGCGTACGACTTCAACGCTGCTCACCGACGCCTCCGCTGCGGCCCTCACACGCTTAACCTTATTGGCCAGGCAATTATCTTTGGCAGCAATCAAGAGGCGTACAACAACAACAACGACGAGCAGCTCCAAACAGAGGAGGTGTACATGCAGGAGTGGCGTCAAGAAGGGCCCTTAGGTGTACTTATCGACGTTATCAACCATATAAAAACGCCTCAACAACACGAAATTTTCCGAAGCTTCCAAACCGCCGCCAACGCCGAGTTGCCAGCTAGAGAGCGCCTCCACGTACTTGAGCCTGTGAAGCCTGTTGTTACACGCTGGAACTCTTACTACGCTGCCTTCAAACGCGCAACTCAACTCCAGGCAGCATACAACTCTTACGCTGAGCACTACATTAACGCACTCTCCCTTGAAGATCGCCGCGCTTGTCAACGTGGCAATAAACTCCCTGAAGCACCTAGTTGGATGAGATCAACAGGACTTACAGCTGCTGATTGGGCGGTGATAACAGAGTATCAGGACTGCCTAGAGCCGCTTAAGCTTGCTACGGAGAAGCTTGAGGGTCGCGGAAAGGCAGGCAAATACGGCGCTATATATGAGACTATTCCTGTATTTGAATACGTACTTGGCGCGCTCGAAGCCCGTACGCGCTCGTACGAGCAAGTTGACTTCAACCCACCTGATGCGCCTGAAGATCACCTCTTTGTTAACCTCCGCGCCGCCTGGAGTAAGGCCAACGATTACTACAACAAGCTCGATCGATCGCCAGCATACTACGCTGCTACCTGCCTCCATCCATACTACAAATACTACTGCGAGAACAGCTGGGTGGATAAGCCAGAATGGCTAACATCAGCCAACGCTGGCTTCCTGCAGCTCTGGCAGTCGTATAAGCCTCAACGTACACGTCCTCTATCTCAAACAACTGCAAAACCAAGGCATAGAGGAATAGATGATGTGATTGGCGCCCTCGTACGGCGCAACAAGGCTCAGGTAGAGGCTGCCCACGACGATGAGTACGAGCGCTGGAGAACTCAAGAGCCAGAGTGGACAAGCGAACAGTATCTTAGCGATGGCCACCCAGTCAAGTACTGGATTCAATTACGCTCAAAATACCCGTGTTTAAGCCAGTTTGCGATTGATATACTCACGATACCAGCATCTAGTTGCGACTGCGAGAGGCTCTTTAGCGAGCTTGGCGATTTACTTGAGCCGCGCCGGCGAGCTCTTGGCAGCGAGTTACTTGCTGCCCTTCAGCTTGTACGTTCGTGGAGACGAGCTGGCTTTGACGGCTTGTACAACAACGGTGATGATGAAGATAAGTGGAGTGACGTCAAAGATGAGGAGATTGTACAACAGTACGATATAGAAGGCTGGAGTACAACACCATAACCCCCTGTATACTACTTCTTAGCATCAATCAGCCAATCAACCAATCAATCGCAATCAATCTGCTCAAAAACCCTAACAATCAATCCGCAATCAATCAGCAGCGTCGCCGCAAGCTAATCAAACCAATCGACAACCTTAAGATTGATTGATTTGATTGTTGCGGAGTCTGCAGCAGCGTCGCCGCAAGCTAATCAAACCAATCGACAACCTTAAGATTGATTGATTTGATTGTTGCGGAGTCTGACGGTCCGCGCTTCGGCACCCAACTGCATCCGCTACAACAGTCCAACTGGTTGAAAGGGTTAGGTCAGAAGGTGTTGAAATCTATGGGCGTGTTTACCGTTGTCCAAATATTTGCACAGCCTCCCGGAGCTTGGAGTTCTCCTCTTCAGACCAAGGGCCTTTCTTGAGTCCCCCACCGACGTGGTTGACCCAGCGTTTCCGACAGTCCTTGTTGGATCTGTCTGTAAAGTTTGCGGCAATCCGGTTCCAATCCCAGATACTATCGGGGGCTATGCAGGCGGGTCTTAGCAGACAGCAATTTGATTCGATGGCTTCTCAATGTGGAGTGAGCCATTCTGAATGTGACTTACACTGCTTCATTGCTTCTCGGTATAGAATCGAGTCCTCTTCCGCAGTCCATCTTCTTGGTGATTTCCGCATCATGTTATGTGCTCAATGTGAAGGAGACGAGGAGACGAGAGCATGAAATGAGGTCTGTTGGTTGGAAGGCTTTCGAAACAGTAGGCAGTGCGAGCATTCCTGACATTCTATTCAGCCGGTCGGGAAGCTACAAGCGATGCCACTATACAGATGCATTGTCAAGTCATCTTACAGGGCACCCTGCAGAGGTTCCCTCTATGGTAGCACTCCACGCTCTCGAGCTGGCCGTTCTCTAATCGGCTCGGCGGGTCCGTAGTACAGGTCTAGGCGACACAATCGTTCGCCTGCTGTTTTCAGTGGCCCCGAGCCTCCTCTGCACAGTTGTCAACAAGCAAGTCAAGTCGTCGCTCAAAACCAGCCGCTAACCCAACGAGGTAACAGCTAAGCTTATATAGGTAACTACTAGGCTCAAATAGGCGACAAGCAAGTCAAGTGTGAGCTGTAATTTCGTGATCCGCCGCTAAGACAATCTGACCGCCTTGACTGGCTATGGTGAGATTACCAAACATCCAAGCAGCCCACAATGTGCTATGAGGCTACAGAGCTGACATGTACTCTTGCAAGTGCTTATCATGGCTTGGAAAGGCGGTTTCTGAGCCCCACTTACTTGCTTGTTGACAACTGTGCTCCTCTGCCGCATGCCAAGATGCCGGTTAGCGCCTGATGGCGACAGGGCAACATGCAAGGCTGTATTTTCGGAGTCTCTTTCACGTGAGACCTAACGGGATGCGGTTGTAATGCCGGGTGGCTGATGGAAGAGCCGTAGAATGAGTCAGTCAGCGTGAGCAGATCGCCGAGTTTGAGCGCTCTCCTTCCTTTCACGTCGTAGCGCAGACAAGCGTAGGCCGGTTCCTGCATTAGGTAGGTTTCTAAAGATAACTGTGGCGCATGCCGGCGGCTTTCTAGAGGCATCTACGCTCTCGCGCTCAGTCTGCCTGCATCGTGCAACACTACTCAATGGCGTAACGTGCTATGCCATGCCTACTGTTGCAGTACAATGCAGTCAATCAAAGTGTAACCGCGCGAGGCAGTCATCAGAGTATATTGTGTTCTGTTGTTGTTGTGCTGTCATGGCCACCTTATATGTAGCCATAATCAGGGTCTATTTACATGACGTATCTCTGATGCTGGTGAGGGGAGAAGGTGCTCATGGAGGGGAGGGAGGAGCGCCAGGACAACGCACGTGACATGCGCAATACCCTTGCCTCACAAACCGCAACACCTACAGTAATGTTGCGAAAACTACCGTTCTGTAGGGATTCTTGAAGCTTCGATGTGGCAAACAAATGACATACATATACACGTACATCTCCGTCCCTCTATAAGCGCTGATTTTGTAATAAAAAATCTAGACTATAGATATCACTCCAAGCGACAAATCCAAAATTTTCCAGACCCGGTACCTACACCAACACATCTGCCTGACACAGCTGCGCTCGCTGATCGATACTTTGTTGGGAGCCACAACAGCTTTTGAGCATTATCAGAAATCCACATGTTATCAGAGCTAATCATTACTGCCTGACGGACAGGTTGCTGGGGTTTAGTCGTCACAATTTCGTCTGAGTACTGCAACGCAAGGATAGAGACGAGACTAGCTGAGCTGGCATGACTGCTATGGCCCTCGAGCGTGTGCACACACGCGCCGCTGCTCGCATCCCAGATCTTGACAGTCCTATCCTCGGACGCCGACGCCAGCCGCGTTGAGTCGTGCGAGAAGGCCACTGAGCTAACAGGACGGCTATGGCCCTCGAGCGTCTGCAGACACGCGCTCTACCCGTCGCTTAGAGTTGGCCTAATACTAATTGCTTCTGGCTCTTCGTGCTGGAACAGCTGTCTAATTAGACTACCTGTTAGACTGAACTGGAGTGCGGATGCATAGACTCCGCAACAATCAATTCAATCCGGTCACTCTCCTAGACCCACTTACCTATCTAGGTAGGGCTTAAACTCCTATAGGTAACTACTAGGCTTAAAGCGGTAATCAATCAATCCAATCTGAACCTTCTAGGACCCACTTAATTGATTGTTGCGGACTGTGCGGATGCATAGGTCTGAAGAGGGTAGCCCTTGATTGCCCCTTTGTGGTACATAATGAATCGCCGTGCGTCTTGAACAAGCTGAGTAAGTCTGTCTTGGTCACACATCTCCTGCTGGCGTTAGCATCTAGGTCGAACTAAAGGCATGTAGATCTCTTGCGACACACCTGCACTAGCAACCACAGTTTTTCTATAGAGACGACGCCTTTCCCTACGCTCTTATATAGACTAAGCCCCTCTAGCTAGTAGAGATACTTCTCTCTTAGAAACTCTTCAACTGCGCTTAGAACTTGCACGTTATCTACCCTATTTACTAAAGACTCTGGCTTTGAGTCGCACATAAAGTTGATCTAGTAGATGCACGGGTAGCGTGACACTGCTAGCGAGTCTGCCTTAGGTAGTTTAACGTTCGTAATAGGATATCCTAGCGCTTCTAAGCTGTACACGTCCCTGCGCAATGTCCTAGATAGAATCGCTAGTGACCTTAAGAAAACCGTACGATAAACAGCTTTGCTTCTAGCGGGAAAGGCTTTCCTATAAGTCTTTATAAAGAGGAAGTCTTTTACAGACTAATGTACAAAGTAGACTATATCTTCTCGCAAGATAAGAAACGACCTATAGAAGCTAACAATCTCCCGCACCGACTCTAGGTCGTCCAAGTCTTTAAGCTGTTCCACGAGCGTGTTACGAACAAATACCAGATGTCTTCCCTAGACAAAGGATGCAAGGTTGGAGGCTAACCGTCGCGCAAGTCACAAGGTGATGACCCGCGCGGGGCGCGCCAAGGATCACGTGACTGCTATCACGCCAAGACGGTGCCATCACATACTAGGGCTGACATCGGTGATAGCAGGCCTTAGCTGTGATGGCACAGGACAAAGGCAACGAGTATATAGTTGTGGAGGATTCCCTTAATACACTCGTTGTGGTCAACTCTCTTATAAGTTCTTCTCTTACCTAGATTAATACTAAAGTTATTCTATCGTTTATATAGAATTAGATTATTATTACTAAATACCTACTATCCTACATTGTCGCTAGACAAACCACGTAGAGCTGTCAGATAGCAGGGTTACTCGACGTTGGCAGCAACCAATCAGCGTAGAGAGGGTCAGTGCGCCCCTCAAGAGGGCCACAAGCGCGGACACACGATAGACAGAACACAATACACACAATCATCAACATCCATCACTTTTGTGCAATATCTCATTATATCTGACAAGAGCTTTAACGTTAGTCTCGCCTGCCTTAGTGTAGACTAGGATTAGAGCAGTATAGCCCCTCTGTGTAACACTTTAACTACCTATAGACTTTATAGAAGGTATTTACTAAATAGTTGTTTAATTAAGACTAAGAAAGAATGTTAGCATTAGGAAGCTAACCTATAAGGGCCTAGGAGCTAGGCAGTGTAATGGGCTAGGCCCAGTCGAATAAGACTCGGCTGGAAGCCTCGGAGACCAGAACATCAGAACCTGCCGATACCGGACGAAGGACCCGCCCGACAAATTGGTTACCGGTAAAGATATCCGGAAGCCGGATATCTATCCGAAGAAACTATATAGCCGGATAGCCCTCCATAGATCTTAGGTTAACGAATTTGTTGCGGTTTGTGAGGCAAGGGTATTGCGCATGTCACGTGCGTTGTCCTGGCGCTCCTCCCTCCCCTCCATGAGCACCTTCTCCCCTCACCAGCATCAGAGATACGCCATGTAAATAGACCCTGATTATGGCTACATATAAGGTGGCCATGACAGCACAACAACAACAGAACACAATATACTCTGATGACTGCCTCGCGCGGTTACACTTTGATTGACTGCATATACTGCAACAGAATTCATCTGATTCTTTCTGGCAATTGCCCTCAGGGCCGGCCCCTTTCACTACTTATGAAGGTCGTCTAGCGCGTTAATAAGCTAGAGTTGCTAGAGAGACGTTATAGATAGCTGCAGCGCGTTGTAAGGAGAGTGTCGCGTCTTGTTTAAGAGCTTAAAGGGCATTCTATATCTAACGTTTATTAGAAGGCTCTATCTAGTGTTGTTGTTAAGGCATTGCGTAGGAAGGTAGAGTTTGGTAAGGGCTTGGCAAAAGTGTCAGGCTAACCTAGGTGTCTCGCCAACCCGTGAGGTACGTTATCTAGTTTTTATTTTAAGAAGATTACATGTTAGTCTGTTGAGGCATCACGTTTAGAAATTAAAGGGTATAGGTTTTAGTAGGGTCTTAGCAAAGGTGGGCGACTCGGGCGTGTGGCCGACTCGCCCGTGGGGTACGTTATACCTAAAGTAAGAGGTAAATGATTATATTCATACTACCGGCCAACCGCTTGAGAAGTTGATACGGTTAATGCCGAATTTCTTTTGACCATCGGCGTAGCCAATACGTGTGTCGACGTAGTGGTAGTAGAGGACAGGGCCGAGCTTAGGATCATAGTAAACTCCTTGGCCACCAGGTCCATAGACCCAACCATGAGACTCGAGAACCGTGGTGCCGCCACCCTTGGTACAATCCACGCCGTTCTTATCGACGAAGCCGCCAGTGGCGCTTCTTGATCTGCAGACTTGAATCTTGTACTCCTGACCAGCAGCGGGCCTATTGCTGTCAAAGCCGCAGCACTGGCCGACAGAGAAGAAGAGGTAATGGTAGTTTCCGTTGAGCGCAATGTATGGACCTTCCTGAGCATGAGTACCCCCGGGTTTGAATGCAATGTTGGTCATGGTTGAGGAACTGGTCTTGAGGGGTGGGTTGGCCATGTTGATGCTGAAGATATCCGACCAGAACGATCCGAAGGACATGACAAACTTGGAACCGTCCCAGTAGAGCGCTCCATCAATAGCATTATAATTCTTGCCGGCACTCGAAGCAATGCCAGTTGCGCCATGATCAGTCCAAGTGTTGAGATCCTTGCTGGTTGCGACTCCAATGGCTGAGTTCTGTACACCGAAAGACGACACGCTGTAGTATAGGTAGTACGTATCGCCAACTAAGGTTACATCAGGAGCCTTGCAACTGGGTTAGCACGTCACCAAGTGATTGCGTGTCTCATAGAAGACATACCCATAGATCGTCCTTGCCAGCTAAGTTGATCTTCGACCCAGCAGGGATGGCAGCACCTTTGTAGGTCCAGGGTCCGGTGATAGATGGCGCCGTGTGGATAGCGATCTTGCCACCGGTCGAGAAGCGGTAGTACGTGCCATCAGCGCGGCGGATGAGGGCGGGATCGTGAGCATTTGTGCAAACACCAGAGCATGCCATGGGATCAGCATAACCGTATACCGCCGTCACGACCGACAGAATGGAAACAACGATAGAGCAGCGCATCCTGGCGGTACAAACTAACCACAGCGGATGGAAGTAGGCCGGAGTAGGCGGAAGAAGCGGATACAGGGTAGAAACAAATGGTCGACGTGAACAGACACTATATATCATGGCAGTGCTTGTCTAGTTGCGAAGGATGCCCGTGTGGACCCTCGCGAAACCCTCGGAATGAGCCAGGAGTGGAGAAACGAGATTGCCATCTCCGCCTTATTGTGATATCTCAATGGTGGAAATGGGATGCTCGGCACGTGCATGCGGAAGTCGGTACGGAGGAAATCTTCTTTCATCGCCTAGGGGCGTATGTCTCGGCAATCTAATTTACGAGCCACAATTGGCGTTTCATGCGTCGCTAGGTCACTGCAGCCCGTGAGTGGTGGCATTCCACAAACAGAACACGAAGTATGGGCTGAGTATCGCAACGTAGCCGGAAACCCTCCCGTTTGAAAACGGTAGAAGGGTTGGAGGGGCTATATCAAGTTGGATGTTAAGGGAGTAAGCTGGTAGTTGAAGCGCGGGGTCGCCTGTCGGCTCGAGTTCCGTGGCCGTGCGGGTCACGTCGCAGGTCTTCGATGAAAGCGCAAGCACAGAGCGACTTAAGCCCATAAAACCGGAGAAGAACAACTAGTGCTGTCGCTTGCGTGGCGGGAAAGGTAGGAAGGTGCGATTCATGGATACTATGGAATTCTGAACTTCTCTTGTGTCTCTCTCTTGGCGCCGTGCAGATCCTCTAGTTATCTCCTTCTTCTTTCGGCTAACAACCCCCGCGGCGATCATCACCACCACAAGCACCCGTCGTGGAGCTAACAATCATCGTGGTGTCTCGGTTAGAGGCGCAGCTGCTCTAGTCGAGTGATTGATCGCTGACCGCTCCAACTCAAATTTTCCGTCGGTTCATGATGACCTTACAGATTGGGACCCTACTGTAACGTGTCCGTGCGTGTGATGCGCGGATTCGCGTGATGCGCGGGGAACACCATATCCACTACTTCAAAAATGAAGCTATTAAGCCACGTATATAAGCTGTTATTATAAGAATTTATAGAGGGGGAGTAATTAGATGCTTGCGATCAACTTGTACTATCTATATTTTAATAGGAGGTTGACGTTGCGGCCACGTGATGTGAGCTTTGGTTGATGTTGATGTTGATTATGGTTTAACGCCCTATCTGTAACCTCCTATAGGGTATTCGGGCGGGTCCCGCCGTGGTCTTATAGTGCTGTCGCACTTGCCTCGTGGAACCTATTCCTAGGTGTTTTGTATCTAAGGGGAGTGATGTCCTGCCTATATACATGTTCGTGAAAAGGACTCCCGTGTTACGATTGCAAGGAGAAGGACAAGCAACAACGGCAGGACAACGTTGAAGGCGGGGCACAGCGGGTAAGCTTGTGCCGCGCAGTCACGTGACCTGCCCTCCAACCTTGGCATGACCGCCATGGAGGGCACGACCTCCACGGAGGGTGCGACCTCCATGGAGGGAAAGGCCACAATGGAGGGCACGCTTATTATATAACAGTAGGCAATGAGCCCTTACGGTTCATTGTGTTCAACTTCGAAATCTAAGGATTAGTACTTGATTCTCAACTCCCCGTATATTACATCGATCTACCAATCGTGCTATACAACCTCGTGTCCATCGCATCACTCCATCCCCGAGAACCAACCCAAGATCATCTTCGGACGACCTTCACACTTTGAACACCCTCAAGATGAGTGACACCCCGATGAACACACCTAACGAAACTTCGTCAAGCCGCACCAAGGTGGCCAGACCCGATCTATTTCACGGCGATCGACACAAGCTCGAAGACTGGATTCTCCAGTTCGATCTCTTCTTCAGGTTTGAAGATGAGAAGGTCGACCCTACTGATCGTGGACTGCTCATGGCAAGTTACATGCGAGGAACTGCCGCCACCTGGATCAAGCCTTACCTCAACAAATACATGGACGACAACGATGACGACGACGATATTGAACGAATGTTTGAAGACCACCCAACCTTCAAAGACAAGCTTAGACAGCAATTCGGAGTCATCAACGAAGAATCCAAGGCAGATCGTGCAATCCAACAGCTCAAACAAACCCAATCAGTCGCCGACTACGCCAGTGTCTTCCAGGGACACGCCCTGAAGACCGACTGGGACGACAAGGCATTAAGGGTTATGTACAGACAAGGACTCAAGGAAAGAGTCAAAGAAGAGCTTATGCGAAGCGGCGTCGCAATCAACAACCTACAGGATCTCATCCGAGAATCAATTCGTATCGACAACGCACTCTACGAATTGCAGCAGGAAATCCGACCGGTTAGAGCCAACCAGTCAGTGCAACGCACAAAGGGACGATTCTTCAAGAAGAAACCAGGATATCGGACGACACCCGGAGGTGTTGTACCCTCCGCCGGTAACAACTGGCATGACCCTGATGCAATGCAACTGGACAACATCAACAAAGGCAAGAGTTTCGGAAGGAATGACAAGAAGAAGCCATATAACAAGAAGGAGATCACTTGTTATAATTGTGACAAGAAAGGTCACATGGCTAGGGACTGCCACAGCAAGAACAAAGTGGTTAGACAACTCAACGTTATCCACAAAGCAGTACCCACTGAGCGACACGAGACATGGAATGTCATATCCAAACCAACCATCGAAATCAACACGCAGGAAAGCGTTTTGGGATTGGATAACCTCACACTCGTGGAATCAGACTCAGAAGAAGAGCCCACTTCGGAGTACGATATGCTCGAGATGAGTCCAAGAACTAGAAGCTACGAAATCGACCAGACCAATTCGGCAAGATGGCCACATTCGAGAAGTCAACAGCCCATCCACACCTTATGTACAGGAAGAAGAGTTCTACAAGCTCGCAGGACAGATCAACCAGCTACTACGACACCTCAACAAGGCTGATATCGAGTACGCCTACGAGGAACCTAGCATCATGGCTGCTATGCGACAGGACTTCTACCGATTGTCACTAGAAGTACAACGAAACAAGGAAAACGTTTCAACCGAAATATTGGAGTTCCTACCAACAACATGGGAACTAAGCTGGATCGAAGACGCAATCCGATCATGGGAAGAACCAACGTTGCCAATCTCGGAAGAAGAGAAGCAAGAGATCTACGACGAACTCTGCCAGACCAGGAACGATTGGAAGACCTTCCAACACGGCCACAAGAGAAAGGCCAAGGACATCAGTAGATCAAAAGAATACGACTACTGGATGGACCCTAGGAACCCAGAACATGAGAAGTTATCATGGGTCACATGCATTCACGACCATTGCAGAGTACACTACTCGGATAAGTCCGGATCAGGATGGTTCCCAGAAGAAACCAAACGATCGTACCGCTGCAAGTGGCAATTCTTCGACTGCAAAAACGACCTATGCCCAATACACCTATGGGACAAAAGGGAAAAAACATACTTCCCAGGTCACGACAACCCCGAAGAAATTGATCAGATGCAAACAGTATGGCTAAAAGAATACGATGAAGGAGACGCTTGGGAATGTCAACAACCCAACTGGCAAACGTGCCTTAGCAAAGAATGCGACCTTCATGCGATAGCCAAAGGATTCCATGGATTTGGAAATCAGGCTTTTTTAGACCAGCGCCCGGCCCAGAACGGCCCGGCAAGGAGATTAACTCAGTAAACTCCTTAGACCTCATCAAGCTCCAGGTGAAGCTTGAAGGGAGGTGGATGAAGGCATTAGTAGATTCGGGATCACAAGCCAACTACGTTTCAGCGCACGCAGCGTCTTCAGCCGGACTGAAGCCACTACGGAAACAAGAAGCTTACCCACTACATGTGGCCAACGGAGAGCCAATGCCAGGTGAACAAGAGATCACCCATGAGGTCAGACAAGTGACGCTCAACATCCAAGGACACCAAGAGAAGATAGACCTAGATGTCTTCGGACTAGCTACCCACGACATCATATTAGGACTTCCCTGGTTACGAGAACACAACCCACGGATCGACTGGAAGTCGAAGACGTTCTCATTTGAGTGCTGTGGAACGGACGCAACCACAAGCCAGCCTACGCATTGTCAGAGTACGATGGTAGATGAGAGGAAACTGAATAACATCGCAAAGAAAAAGCGAGCCTCGACAAAGGACGGCCTTAAGAAACAAGGGTCCGACTCAGCAGACGCCGGAACGGAGCCACCGGGTCGACAGACTAGAGTTTTGGAGAAACGCGCAACTCCTGAGATTCCCGAAGAATACAAAGAATTCGAACATCTATTCCGGGAAGTGGCAGATGAACAAGCATTGCCAAAGCACCAACCCTGGGACCACAAGATTGTCCTACAGGAAGGAAAGAAACCGACTTTCGGCCCAATATACGGACTATCGGAAAAAGAATTGAGCACGTTACGCGACTACATCAAGACAAGTCTAGCAAAAAAATATATCCGACCATCGCAGTCACCAGCAGGATATCCAATCATGTTTGTCCCGAAGAAAGACGGAAAACTACGACTATGTGTAGACTATCGCAAGCTCAACGACATCACAATCAAGAATCGATACCCCTTACCGAACATTACAGAACTACGGGATCGATTATCTCGCGCAAAGATCTTTACAGCATTAGATCTTCGAGATGGATACCACCTGATTCGCATAGCGAAAGGTGAGGAGTGGAAAACGGCGTTCCGATCAAGATACGGACACTACGAATACACAGTTATGCCGTTTGGGCTCACGAATGCCCCAGCCACATTTCAGGAACTCATCAACAACGTGTTGAGAGCACATCTAGACATCTTTGTCATAGCTTACCTAGACGACATTCTCGTCTACTCCGAGACTTTAGAGGACCATGTTGAACATGTCAAGACGGTACTAAGGGCCCTTGAGCAGTTCAACCTCCGACTCAAACCAGAGAAGTGTGAATTTCACAAGACTAAGGTCAACTTCTTAGGCTATGTAGTAGGAGCGGACGGAGTACAAATGAGCGAAGAAAAGATTCAGGTTATCAAGGATTGGCCAACACC